TGGACTTCCCAATATTTTATTTTATATTTTTAAAATAATGTTTTTTTCCAACTACATGCAATGATAGTTATCAATATTCATTCTTTTATAAGATTTTGAGCTCCAAACTTTCCTTCCTCCGTCCTTCTCTCCCTTCCTCTTCTCCGCTAAGATAGCAACCAATCTGATATAGGCTATACATGTGGAGTCATGACAAACATATTTCCATGTTAATCATTCCATGAAAGGAGTCAGAACAAAAAGTAAAAACCATGAGAAAGAAAAAACAAAAGTGAATATAGTATGCCTCAATCTGCATTCAGACTCCATAGTTCTTTCTCTGGATGTGGATAGCATTTTCTATCGTGAGTCTTTTGGAGTTGTTTTGGATCATCGTATTGCTGTGAAGAGCTAAGTCTGTCATAGTTGATCATTGTACAATGTTGCTGTTACTGTGTATGAAGTTCTCCTGGTTCTGCTCACTTCTGTGTGTGTCTTTCTGTATCAAGTGTGTCTCTTATAAACAACATATTGTTGGTTCCTGGTTTCTAATCCATTCTGTTATCTGCTTCCATTTTATGGGTGACCTCATCCCATTCACATCCACAGTTATGATTCCTAATTCTATATTTTTCTCCATCCAATTTTTTCCTGTTTCTCTTCCTCCTCTTGTCTCTCTCTTGTTATCCTGTCCCTCCTCAAAAATATTTTGCTTCTAACCACTGCCTCCTTTAATCTGTTCTCCTTTTTATCATTCTCTCTTTCTCCCATTCTGTATCCCCTTCCTGTCCTGTTTCCCTATTGGGTAAGTTACATTTCTATACACAACTGAGAGTGTATATATATATTATTCCCTCATTGAACCAATTCTAATGAGAGGTTCTGTGAGGTTCAGGCATTGCCCCTGCATTTCCCCCTCCTCCATAAAAGCTCTTCCTCTTATGTATCTCTTTCATGTGGGAAAATTTTCCCCATTCTACCTCTCCCTTCCCCCTTCTTCCAGCGCATCTCTCTTTCTCCCTCCTTCATTTTTTTCAGGTATCATTCAAACATAATCGACTCAAATCAATTCCTTCTGTCTATGTAAACTCCTCCTAACTGCCCTAATGTTAAAGGTCGTATGAGTTACATGTAGCATCTTCCCATATAGGAATGTAAACAGATTAACTTTATTGAGACCCTTATGATTACTCTTTCTTGTTTACCTTTCTGTGCTTCTTGAGTCTTATATGTAAAGGTTGAATTTTCTATTCAGTCTTTTCATCAGGGATGCTTGAAAGTCTTCTACTTCATTAAATATCCATTTCTTCCAAAGAATTATACTCAATTTTTCTTGGTCTTTGATTTTTGGTTGTAATCCTAGCTCCTTTGCCTTCTGGAATATCATATTCTAAACCTTATGCTCCTTTAATGTAGAAGCTGCTAAATTTTGTGTAATCCCGACTGGGCTCTGTGATATTAGAAGTGTTTCTTTCTGGCTGCTTGAAGTATTATTTTCTCTTTGACCTGAGAGCTCTGGAATCAGGCTCTAATATTGTTGGGAGTTTTCATTTTAGAATCTCTTTTAGGAGGTAATTGGTAGATTCTTTCAATTCCCACTTTACCCTATGGATCTAAGATATTCAGGCAGTTTTCCTTGACAATTTCTTGAAATATAACGTCTAGTTCTTTCTTTGATCATGGCTTTCAGTTGGTCCGATAATTCTTAAATTATCTCCCCTTGATCTGTTTTCTGAGTTAGTTGTTTTTGAATTGAGATATTTCATACTTCTATTTTTTTCATTCTTTTGACTTTGTTTTATTGTTCCTTGATATCTCATGGAATAGTGAGCTTCCAGTCTCCAACTGGAAGTTTTAAGAAATTACTTTTTCAATGAGATGTTATGCCTCTTTTTCCCTTTGACCAATTCTGTTTTTAAAGGTGTATTTTCTTCAGTGAAATTTTGTGCTTCTTTTACCAAGCTGTTAATTCCCTTTTCATAATTTTCTTGCATCACTCTCACTTCTTTTCCCAATTTTTCCTCTACCACTCTTATCTCTTTTTGTAATTCTTTGGGGAATTCTTGTTGGGCTTGGGTCCAATTAACATTTTTCTTTGAGGCTTTGTTTGTAGCTGTTTTCACATTATTATCTTCTTCTGAGTTTACATCTTGGTCTTCCCTGATACTATAGTAGCTTTTATGGTCAGACTGTTTTTCAGTTGTTTGCTCGTTTTCCCAGCCCATTTCTTGATTTTGAACTTTATGTTAAAGTTGAGCTCTGCACAACTGGGGGTGGTGATGCACTGTCCCAAACTTTTGGCTTTTTTGTGTTACTGTTTTCAGAGCTAGTCCTGGGGGTCTACAAGTTTTTGATGCTTCTGAGGTGATGTGATCTTGGGAAAAGTATGGTCACTGCTTTCCTGGTCTGTATTCTGGTCTTTACTTAGGAAGGGCCCCTGCTTTCCTGCCGTCACAAACTCTGGCATTCTCTTTGCCTTGGAACTGTGACCAGGGCTCTCTTGTTACTGACCCCAAGTGCTCCTCTCCACCCTAGAACTGGGACTCAGACTTGCACATGGGCAATAGAGTTGCCTAGTTCCAGCACAGGGTCCCCTGTAATCTCTTTCTGACCAGTTGTCCAACACCCTGTCTCTGGGCTGAGAGCTCTCAAAGCTGCTCCTCCTGAACCGGCTGCCACAGATGTCACAAACTTTTGCCAACCTCCTAAGTTTTCTTAGGCTGGAAAAATGTCTCACCCAGACCTTTGGAGCAGCAGATCAGAATTTGGTTTGAAACATTATTTTAAAGTTGTTTGGAGGGGGATGGTGAGAGAGTTCAACTTGGGTTGCTGCTAATCTACCATGTTTGCGAAAGCTTTTCAATTCCATAAAATTGAAGTTACCTGTTTTATCTTTTGTGATTGTCTCTGCCCCTTGTTTAGCTCCTAGTCACAGCTGTGAAAGGTACTTCATTGGGTTTTTTTTTCCCATTTGTTTCATGGTGTGACCTTTAATATTCAGGTCATATGTCTGATTTAAGCTTATTGCCATATATGGTATAAGGTGATGGTTTAAACCTATTTCAAGGCAAATATATTCTTACTAGCCCTAGTTAGGTTCATTATATATCTGACTTGATAGCTAGATGGTGCAGTGAATAGAGTGTCTGACATGGAGTCAGGAAGACTCATCTTTCTGAGTTCAAATCCAGCCTTAGACACTTAATAGCTGTGTGACCCTGGGCAAATCACTTAACCCTGTTTGCCTCTGCTTCCTCATCTGTAAAATGAGCTGGAGAAGGAAATGGCAAACCCTTCCAGTATTTTTGCCAAGTCACATGGCATCACAGAGTCGAATATGACTGAAAAAATGACTGAACAACAACATCTCTGACTTAGGACCATCCATTTAGAGTGGGCAGGGCCCTTTGAGGTCATTGAGTTCAACCCTCTCATTTTAAGGCATTGTTCTCCTCATTGGCTTTTTGGACCTCTTTTGCCATTTGGGTTAGGCTATTTTTAAGGCTATTTTCTTCAGTTTTTTTTGGGTCTCCTTTATCAAGCTCTTGACTTGTTTGTCATGATTTTCTTGCATCACTCTCATTTCTCTTCCTAGTTTTTCCTGTACTTCTCTTACTCGCTTCTCAAAATTCTTTTTGAGCTCTTCCGTGGCCTGGGACTGATTCATATTTTTCTTGGAGGCGTTGGATGTAGGAGCTTCGACTTTGTTGTCTTCTTCTGGTTGCGTGTTTTGATCTTCTTTGTCACCAAAGAAAGATTCTATGGTCTGACTTTTTTTGCACAATTTGCTCATGTTCCCAGCCAATTACTTGAGTTTTAAACTCTTTCTTAAGGTAGGGGTCTGCTTCTAGGGTGGAGAATGTGCTGTCCCAAGCTTCAGGGGTTTTGTGCAGCTGTTTTCAGAGATACTTCTAGGGACCTGTAAGTTTTCAGTTTTTCCAAGGTGGTACAATCAAGGGCGATGTGTTTATTCCTTTTCTGGCCTGTGCTCTAGTCTGTGAGTGACCACAAGCACTCTTCTCTGCCTTGGAACTGTGAGGAGGATTCCAGCTTTACCACCCCAGCACTCCTTCTTGCCCCAGGACCACTACCCAGAACTGCGACCCAGATCCAAGCATGCATCCCCCTCATTTTAAAGGAAGCTAAGTGAAATAGTAGACAAAGTGCTGGAGTTAGAGTCAGGAAGACCTGAATTCAAATCTTCCCTCATATACTAGCTGTTGGACCCTGGGTAAATTAATTTCTTACCCTCAGTTTCCTCCTCTGTAAAACTGGGGATAATAATAATAGCACCTACCTCACAGAGTTGTTGGGAGGATCCAATGAGATAACATTTGTTAAAATAATTTGCATACAAAAGGGCTAATTAATGCTAGCTATTATTATTTCATAGATGAGAGAAATTAAGTCACTTGCTATCACTTACTTGTCACTTACTTAGGAAGGGCCCCTGCTTTCCTGCAGGCACAAGCTCTGGATTGTCACACAGCCAGTAAGTGTCAGAGTGGGGACCCTGCAGCCTCAAGGCCACATGTGGCCCTCTAAGTCCTCAAGTGTAGCCTTCGACAGAATCCACAGAACAAATCCCAAACAAATCTCACCTTGGTTTCTTCTCTCTTTACGTCTCTCCCAAGAGACAGCCAGTGGGACATTGCCTAGGCTGCTGGCCCTAGAGAAGGAAGACCCAAGTTCAAATTTGACCTCGAATACTTATTAGCTCTGTGACCCTGGGCAAGTCACTTGAACTCCATTTTCCTCAGTTCCCTAAATTGTTATAAAATGGGGACAATAATAGCATCTACCTTTGCAGGGTTGTTGTAAGGATCAAATGAGACATTGGAAAGTGTCCAACACAGTGCCCAGCACATAGTCACTGCCATACAAATACTCCTTCCCCTTTTTGTCACCATCCTAGAGCACTTTGCAATGTGCTCTGTAAACATTAGGTGCTTTGTGAATATTGTTGCCTGACAGGCCCACTGTTCTTATGTAATGTTTCTTTCCTCTTTTCTCTTCCCCAGAACAGACTTAACACTGAGCAGCTGTGAAAGGAGAAACCTAAAGCCGCCACCATATTTTGATTGGACTCTGGGAGGTTGGAGGGATCCTGTCTTCTCTCCTGGACCAGAACACCAGTTTGCCTGGCTGGGGCCAGCCTTTCCAGCTGGGAGGAAGGCCGAGGGAGAGGATGTGCATCTGGGGCCAAGAGCAGCCCACGCAGATGAGGAGATCAGGGTAGAAGAGGTTCACAGCAGGCCCACGACATTCCCCCTTACCCTGCTGCTTCTGCCCCCCTGACCTTGGTTGGGATCGTTATCTGGCTTCTGCCCCTCTCTCGGCAAGGCTTTGTGCCTGCGCATGAGGAGACTGTAGCCATGTAAGCGAAGCTCTTTTCTTGTTGGCATTCTGGCCACTGCGGGGAGAGGCTGCCTGCGCTCACTGCCTGGACCCAGCTGACCAACATGCCCCGTGGTGGATACCTAAGTCTTTGTGAGTAGGATGGCCTGGGCCCAGAGCCAGTCAAAATTCTGGTTAAGCCAGGGGCCAATAGTAACCGTGGTAACCGTGGCACTCTGGGTTTTTTTTTTTTTTAAACGTGTGAAGTTGAGATACTTAACCCTTGGCCCTGCCCTGGACAGCCTGTGTGTTTTCTGCCTGAGAACCGTCCTTGGCAGAAGCCTCATGTTTGTTGGGGGGGTAGCAATGAAGGCCCAAAGTCTGGGGGTGGGGCATTTCCTGGGATAATGCTTGGGGATGGCTGGAAGGGATTCAATGAGATCAGGAAGCAGCATCTGCCTTCTATTTGGAGAGAAAAATAAAGGAATGAGGTAGGCAGGAAGTGTATTTCTGGTCTCCTTGAGGGTTACTTGTTGAGGGTATCTCTTTTGAAAATTATTATCTTTAAAAAAAAAAAAAAGGAAAGAAAATGATTAGCATTGCCACAGCCTTTAACCTTCCCAAATGCCTTTTTTTTTTTTTTAAAGTATTCCAGTGTTTCACGAAGTCTTTGGGGAAGGCACAGCTGATCGTGAAGACATTCTGGCATATTTAGGACATAGCACATTCTTCCTTTTACTCCATGAAGGAGGACAGAAATAGGGTGTAGCAGTCATGCCTGTATATATTGTTAGGTGGGAAGGTCATTTTTAGCTTTGGTGATAATAAGTAGAATCAAAATAATGATGAGGATTAATAAAGAAGAAGAATGACAGGATAGCAGCTTGTCCCAGGACTGTTTCTATTGGAAACTCCACCGAGCAAGATGAGGAGGAACAATCACAGTGATAACAGGAGCCACAGCCAGTGTTCAGGCAGCATTTGAACATTTGCTGAGCCTCTCTGAATGCCTAGGCAGTAACACCTCAGCCCTGAAGTGATTTGGCATCCCATTTTAGTGAGAATCTCTTTTTCCTGAGTGGCCGTATGGGGTAGTGGATATAGTATTGGAGTGGTATTAGAGTCAGGAACGCTTGGGTTCCAGTGCCAGCCACTGGTATATATTAGTGTATATGACCAGAAGTATGGCACTTAACCTCTCAGTGGTACACCTCCCCCCCCCAAAAAAAAAGAAAATTTCTCAGACTATAGGTTACAGATCAGTTGCTACTCTACCTAAGGGGAGAGGCTTTCTACAACAGGGATTCCCCTCATTGATGATATTGTGGGTCTAGAACCCTCTCCCCTAAAAAAAAAAAACTTTCGCCTCCTATCTAGAGTAGCAATACTGAATGTCACTCCATTTCCATTTTGTAAATCTGGATGCCTTGGGCAAGGTATGCTCATCAGTCTATTTTTAAATATTGTGAAATATTTCAATATTTTAGCAAATGACCCTTTTCCCCCAAAATATGAGGCCAGATGGGGGGTTGGATGTGGAGCAGGGGGGGTCCCTTGAGGGTAGGGAAGCTGAGAGGTCAGGATTGTAAGAGCTGGTGGTGGGAGCCAGTGCTTAGACATTAGCTGTGGCTTCGTAGCTTTCCGAGGGTTGGGGCTATCTGGATAATGAGGCCAGAGTCAAGGGCAGCAGCCGTACTGCCCATGGCTTGTCATTTGCCTTTCAATTTCTTAAGGCAATGACAGTATAGGAAAAGACCTCTAATTAGCAATTGTGTTTTCTGTACCTGCCCAGTGGCATTTCAGGGGCCTTGAGGCAGCATTACATATCAGAAGGCCTGAAAGTGATGGGTGAGCTGCCCTAGTTTCTGGGAAATGTTCATATGTAGGTCATGGATCAATTAGGCAAAAGAATTTATTGAGCCTAGTGTTTACTGGTGACTGGAACCCTGCAGGGTGCTGGGGGTGAGGGAGGGTAGGGACATTTCACAAGCATGGCTGTTGCTCTTCTGGCCTCAGATTTGGGGGATAAAAAGGTTCATTTGCCGAATATTTCAGACTGATGGACATACCTTCCCCTAAAAGTTCTTGAAATAACTCTAAAAGGTTGAATGGTGAATCTGAAAGATCAGTGTTTGACAAACTTTTAGAAAATAAAAATTGGGAAACGAATTAATCATTTAACAAATAAACTTGAGAAAATTGAGAGTTTGGTAGGAAAGGGATTTGGACCCATACCACATATCCCACTGAATTCCAGCTGAATGAGAGACTTAAACATTAAAAAAAAAACCAAAAACAAATCTGGGAACAAATAAAATTAATTTATCCCATTTATCCCAGTTATAAGGGGAATTGATATTTTTCTATTCTTGATTACATTAAAATTGCACTTTTCTGGGTAATAAACTGAAATTAAAGAGCAAAATGGTGGATCGGGGAAACTATGACAGACTAAAAACTTGACATCTAAAATTAGGAGCATTAAATGATCTGTGCCTTAAGGCATAAGGAGAATTTGGATAGAGGGAAAAGCAGTAAGGATATTGAAGCGTGGTAGAAGGCACAGATGAAGGAATCTGTGGAGACCTGCCTGGGATTTGTGACATGGAGAAATCACAAATCGCATCTAAAATTTTTATCAGTGAATCATCAATCAGGCCCTATAGTCTAATTCTGGACTGTGCGATATGAATGAATAAAGCATTTTATTAAGTGCTTTTTCTGGCACTGGAGATGCAAATAGAAAAGCAAGACAGATAATCTCTGGGGCAGACAACGCAGAGAAAGTTTCAGCTGCAAGTCAGATGGAAAGGTCCCATGATGTAGACATAGGAGTTCAGAGAAGGGGCGAGCCTGTGTGGGCTTGAGTGGAATCACAAGACCGTTAGAAGTAGGAGGGAACTTAGAGATCATCTCTGTTTGGGTCTTCTTAAGTTAGATTAGGTAGTGGGGGCAGCTCCATGGTGCGGAGGATAGAGCACCAGCCCTGGAGTCAGGAGGACCTGAGTTCAAATCTGGCCTCACACATGTAACACTCATTAGCTGTGTGACTCTGGGCAAGTCACTTAACCCCAATTGCCTCACCAAAATACAAAACAAAAACAAACAGACGAAAAAAGTTAGATTAGGTAGTGCTGCGTGGTGGATAGTGCCCTGGCCTTGGAGGCATGGAGATACGGGTTCGAAATCTTATCTAACACTTACTAAGTGTGTGATGTAGGCATGTCATTTAACTTCTCTGAACCTGTTTGCCCATTTGCAAAATGGAGATTACTGTAATACTCAATATGGCAGGCTTATTGTGAAAAGGCCATATAAATGTCAGCAGTTATTATTACATAGGAGGAAACTGAGGCCCAGAGAAGTGAATAACTTGCTAATGAGTTAGTGGCAGAGATGGGACGAGACCCCTGGGTCTCCTGATTCCAGATCCAAGGCCCTGCCTCCTCATTGCTTAGCCAAATCGTACCTGTTCTCCAAGGCCTGGCTCATGGAGAGCCTTCTCCCAGAAGCCTCCTCTGATGACTCTAGGACCCATTGACATCATTGTGTGTCCCTTTGTATTCTGACCCCTTCCTACTTTTCCAGTCTTCCTTTCACTTACCAGCTATCTAGGGACACTGGCCTCTTTGCTCTTCCTTGAACCCGACACTCCTTTTCTGGACTTGTAGTATTTTGAATTGCTATCCCCTTCTCTACCTGGATCTCTCTCCCTCTTCATCTCCAGCTCTTGGCCTCCCTGGTTTTCAATTCCACCCTCTACAAGAAGCCTTTCCCTGGTTCTCCCTAAACTTAGTGCCTTCCTTCTCTTGATTATTTCCAAATTATCCCGTATGTAGCTTGTTTGCATGTTGTCTCCCCATTAGACTGTGAGCTCCTTGAGGGCAGGAACTTTGTTTTCTCTTTCTTTGAATCCCCTGTGCTCAGCACAGCGCCTTGCATGCAGTAGGTGTTCAATAAATGTTTGTTGACTGACTGTCCAGGAAAATGAATGGGAAAAAGCAGATCATATTCATCTCTTAACAGTGGGGGTTAGGCTGAGGGAACCTCCCTGCTGCTTCCTTTCAGCTGGCTTCGGAAAGGCTTGCAAAATCACATTCCTCTCACTTAATGCCTGAAGCCTTTCTTGGACTCATAATGACCCCCAGTGGTAAAGCTTGAGAAGTTTTTAGGCTTTGGCAGACTACACTTGGAGAAAAAAAACAATCCCTGCCAAAAGACCCAGCCACAGCCATTTGCAGTGGTTTCTTAAAAGCCCCTACGTGGTGTGATGGAGTAAAGTGTTGGACTTGAAGTCAGGAAGACCTGAGTTCAAATCCTCCTTTAGACATTAATCAGCTACATGACTCTGGGCAAGTTATCACTTAACATCTGTCAGCCTCACTTTCCTCATCTCTAAAATGGGGATAATAGTACTGATTTCACAGGATTGCAAGGGTCAAATGACATAATAGATGTAAAGCACTTTGTGAACTTTAAAATGCTGTATAACCGCTTCATTAGCAGATTAGAGAAGTCAGTGTCTTGTAGCAGTATCAGTGTGGAACTTTAAAAGGCCTAGGTCTGATAGCTTATAGGATTTGTCCTTCTAAGTATCCCCCAGGGTATTCATTTTCATATATTTGTTTAACAAACGTCAATTCTGTACTTGCTATATGCCAGGTACTGTGTTACATGCTGGGAATACAAAGACAAAGATGAAACAGGTCCTGCCCTCAGAGAGCTTACATTCTGTTGGGGGGAAACAATATATACACCAATAAATAAATTCAGAATATCTGCCAAGTAAAGACAGTAAATGCAGAGAGTTTGGGGGAAGTGGTAGTGACGGCTAGTGCTACAGATCTCAGTCTAGGTGACTCAAAGGTGAAGAGAAGGGCCTCCAAACCCCATATCTAGGGAGGGAGACTGCTATCAACAGGAAGGCAGAGTAGGCTCTGGGGACAGATAGAGGGAGAAAATATTGATAAGTGTTGTCAAATTTGGGAAGCTGGGACGGAGATCTGGGTATAGAAATAGAAAGGAGGTCCTAGAAATGACACAAAATGATGAAAGGTAGGGACCAACCTACAAATAGATGTTTGGGATTGGTTGTTGTTCAGTCGTGTCTGACTCTTTGTGACCCCATTTGGGGTTTTCTTGGCAAAGATACGGGAGTGGTTTGCCATTTCCTTCTCCAGCTCATTTTAGAGATGAGGAAACTGAGGCAGACACAGTTAAGTGACTTGCCCAGGGTCACACAGCTAATAAGTGTCTGAGGACAGATTTGAACTGGGGAAGATGAGTCTTGCTGATGTCAAGCCCAGTGCTCTGTGACATTGGCACCACTGAGCTGCCCTAGGTGGGGTGGGTTATTTGAGTGATGATTTGAAAAGCACTGGATGTGCTACCTTCCCCCATCCCCCACTGGCCTATTCTGGTGCTGAAATTTTTACCATTAGATTCATTCTTTTGGGCTTTCTAACCACACCTGCTACACCCTCCCCAATTAAAACACGTTTATTGCTAAGAAGACATTATTTGCTAACACCTTAGTGAGAAGTTTGCCAGTTAGGCCTCTGGGAACAGGGAAGAACAGGGATGGCTGCAAAGAGGATTCCTGTAGACACAAAGACAGACTTTCCTCCATTTTTGCTGAGGACCAGCCCTGCCAAGAGGGCCCTCAGACTATCACAGTGCCAGCCTTGTGAAATCTTAGGCCTCAGAGGTTCTTCTCACAGGTTTTCTTAGGTGGAAGGTGAGCCACAGAACAAAGAAGGAAATGGCCATGAGTAAGCCAGCGGGTCATTGGCCTTCCTTCTGCTGACTCCCATCCTGCCCAGACTTGGAAAGTGACCATGTCCAGCCTGGAGGCAAAGTTACTAAGAGTCTGGTCCTAGGAAGGGGTCTGTCCCCCATCCTACGCTGGAGTAGATTAGGGGTGCCATTGTGCTGATGAGAACAACAGAGATCCTCCTTAAAACTGAGTTTCGGCCCCATAAGCCCATAAGTTAAGAGTGGCTAGGGAAGGAAGGCAGTGTAGACTCTAGGGCGAACCAATTAATGTCTACACATTTGTGCCTGGTGTGATTTGCCTTGGCCAGAAACTCGGCAAAGCCTTCTCTAGAGAGACAGACAGACCTGCCAGGACCTATGGTCCAGAAGCAGCTGATGGTTGCCTTGATGAGTGTGTGTGTCCCCAGCACTTCAGCTATAGTGAAGAAAGTGCTGGCCCTGGCATCTTAAGACCAGGGTTCAGATCCCACTTCTGACGCTTGCTAGATGTATGATCATAAACCACGTCTCTTAATTCCCCTAAGTCTGTTTCTTCCCCTCTAAAGTGAGATAATAAGACTTGTAGTGGCTACCTCATAGGACTGGTAGAAGCTCAATGAAGACAGCGCTGAAGAAGGGAAGAAACATTTATAAAGCACCTACTATGTACCAGGCTGGGTGCTAAGTGCTTTACAAATACTATCTCATTTGATTCTCACAACAACTCTCTGAGAAAGGTGCTGTTGTTTTCCCTGTTTTACAGTTGAGGAAACTAAGGCAAACAGAGGTTAAATGACTTACCCAGGATCACACAGCTAGGAAATGTCTGAGGCTGATTTGAACTCAGGTCTTCCTGACTCCTGGGCACAGTGCTCTGTCCACTGTGCCACCCAACCGCCCCCAATGTAGCTAAATGTAAATTATCACCATCATCATTATTGTTATTATTATTACTCTCTGGTATTCTGGTGGAGACTAGATTCCAGAGACCCTCCCCAAGGCTTTCTTCACTGCCAGGAGGGTCTGGAAGCACAGCAGACATTGGAAGGGACTAACCTCCCCCTGAATGCTCTTGTGTTTATGATCTGCAGGTTTCTGGTTTTGCCTTGGCATTGTCGTGGGGAGTGAGGGCCTGGAGGCCCAGACCAAGGAGTGTGCCATTACAGGGAGCCTCCGAGACAAGTTGCAGTATAAGAATCGGGTCCGGTACATGGTGAGTCCGTGGGGCCGACCTGTCCTCTCTGTGGGTAGCTCCCCAGGCACCACTGGAGTCACAGGCTGTGATTTCCAGTCTTTCCTCACGCACCCACCACCCTGAGCTGTCCATCCCTGGGTCTTCCTTCTAGGTATTCCAATATGGAGACAGTTGTTATTGTTTGTCCTTTGTTCGTGAAGAGGACCGTGACATCAGAAATCTGATGCCCTGACTTACAAGTGAATTGGTTTTAAGTGAGGGAGGGCTGTGCAGAGGGGTCCAATGGGCAAGATATAGATCAGGACAACTGGAGATGGCCCCGATGGAGACAGTAAGGAAGAGCCGCTCTTGGAATTTACTGTGCTTACACAACAGCTAGAGGCCAGAAACTCTCCCGTCTCTTTCCCTGTCTCCCTTACCACCCTGGAATTCTCCTCCCCCAGCTTCTCAGGCAGTGAAACAAAGATAGGTTAACCATGTAACAAAAACCATTCCAAGAAAACAAAAGCTAAAACTGAAAGACCTACACTTTTATAGCTGCTGCAGCAGCTGTTTCCCTGGTGGTGTTTTCACACCTGGTGGTGTTTTCACACCTGGTGTTATTCTTGCTAAGAGTCCTTAATGGAGGTGTTTGTTGGTGGGCTGTTCGGTTGCTAGGCTGTATGATTATCCCACTTCCTTTAGGTATTCGCTTGGCTATTCAAAAATGGACTCCAAAAAAAAAAAAATGGACTCCAGGAAGCCTCTGAAAAAATTTTTTACTGCTTTTCTGGGTCTCAAGATCCCAGAAACTGGCCTGTTTGGTCATCTTTGGAGAGTTATACACAGATTTGTGGGTGACTTAGAGCTGCTTAGGGGGTGGGGAGGTTGTGACTCGCCCAGGCTCACCCAGTTATTATGTATCAGAGAGGAGATTCGAACTTGGAAGTCTTCCTGACTCCCAAGCCAGCCTTCTATTCAAATAGTATGTTGCCTCTCATGGGATACACATGTAACTCCTCACTGTCACTCGTGGGATGTATGGATGGGGATAAGGACTGGATCTGTGAATGCCTTGGTATAGGGTGAGAAACCTGTCTACTGCTAAAGCTGGTCGGCGTCTTCTCTGTGACTTCAGGTCTGAGAGAGCTGCCTTGAACATTGAGGTGACTTGCCCAGGGTCATAATTTTGAATGTATCAGAGACGGGATTTGAACCCGGGTCTTCCTGGCCTCGAGGCTAGCTCTGTGTCCGCTGTACCATGGTAGGGTGCAAGTATCTAACAATCTTCTCTTCCTTTTGAGTTTCTTCTGCTGTTCTTAGAGCCCTAGCATCTCCTCTGTCTCTTTGCCTACCCTAGTTATGCCACAGGCCTGGACATCCTGTCCAGTACCAGTTTGTCTCTTGCCTTGCCAACACCTGGTCCTTGTGCGGAAGTTAGACTACTCCTTGCTCTCCGTTGCTACTTGCACCCTTTCCCTGTGCTGCTGTAGCCTCTCCTCCTCTGAGGTTCACTCTGTCCACATTTGTCACCCAATCCAGCTCCTGCTGGCTCTTATGTATTGGGTCAGGTCATTCTCTGTCCTTTGGCCACACCCTTCGCCTCACCATCCTCCACTTCAAGAACTCTGAAATTTCTTTATCTGATCCTAACCTCTCATCATTCCATCTCTCCCTATGTCTCACTCCTCTTCTAAGGCTATTATCGATCCTCACCTTCGCCTTTAACCTTTCTACCTTTCTGGGCTCTACCAGCCCATCACCCTTGCCATGGCTTCACTCTCCTTTCTTTTCAATCTTGAAACTGTTGATAGGTCAAATCTCCACTATCCTGTGCTCTCAAATCCCCTAGCTTTTTTGTTCAGTATTTTTTGTATTTCCGCAAACCTACCTCTGGATGTCTCCCACCACCTGCCTCCTCTGCTCCCGCTCACACGCTGCTGAAGGCAGGTCCTGAACACAGGAGGACTGACAAGGTCCACCAATATTGTATGTTATCTGATGCCATGTAGGCTCTCACTGGAGCAAGGCAACCAACACTTTTACTCTTGCCTCCTTCATTATTCTCTAGCTCACTCCTCCCAATAGCTCTTCCAAGCCTTCTCTTCTCAAGTCATTCTTTAAGCTGAAGACCCTCTTGATACTTTACTGAGAAAACAGGACATTAGCCACAAGCTTCCTCTTTCCCCTCTCTAGATTTCACAACCCCCTGATATTGACTTGCATTCTCTCCACCTTTATCCCAGTGTCTGACAGAGAAATAGTTTTTCTCCTCACCAAGACCAACCCTTCTACATGTATTCAGTTGTCCCATCTTCTCCCATGTTCTGGCAAATTACCCTCACAGTTATTCCTCCTCTCTCTAATATTGGGTCTCTACTAGAGAATAGATCTTGAGTTATCTACTGGCTCCTTCCATGGTGCCTACAAACATTACCCCGAAACAAAACCCCAAACCCTCATGAGACTCTGCTTTCCCCTCAAGATATTGTTTCATATCACGCCTTCTTTCTTCAGTCAGATTCCTTGGAAAAAACTGGCTTTTCTCATCCCCTTGTCTTCTTGTCTTCTTGCTTCTCAGCCTTTTGCAATCTGGCTTCTAACTTCAGCTGAACCAGCTCTCTCCAAGGTTACCAGTGATTTATTAATCACCTATGCTAACTCTTATGGCCTTTTCTCAATCCTTATACTTCTTGACCTCTCTGAAGCATCGACTACCTTTTCCTGGATACTCTCTCTTTTCTGGGTTGTTGTGACCTTGCTCTCTTTTGATTCTCTACCTATCAAATGAGAATTAAATTTAAAGTGCTTAGTCCAGTGCCTGACACATAGTAGGTGCTTAGTAAATCCATCCATCCTTCCTTTCTTCTTCCCTCCCTTCCTCCTCCCTCCTTTCCTCTTTCCCCATCTCTTTTGCTACATCTTCATCCATTTCATAGAACCTAATTCTGGATATACCCCAAGGCCCCATCCTGGCCTCTTTTCTCAGTCTCTACTCTTTCACTGGGTGAACTCATCAGCTCCCATTATGATCTCTATGAAGATGACTCCCAGGTCTATATATCCAGTCCTAGTCTCTCTTGATCTCCAGTCCTTGATCTCCAACAGCCTATTGGACATTTTAAACTGGGTGTCCCACGGGCATTTCAAATGCAACGTGGCCAAGACAGGACCCATTATCTTTCCCCTTCAAACACTATCCTCTTCTGAACTTCCCATTTTTTTTTGAGGATACCTGGGCATCCTTCAAGGGACTCAGTTTTACAGCCCTAGAGACTTTCCAAACTCCTCGCTCTCCCTTATCGCACTTATCTACCCAACTTAACAGTTGGCAATCTTGTCATTTCTGGCACAACATCTCTTGCACTCGTCTCCTTTTCTTGACTATCGTGGCGATTGTCTTAGTTGAGGCCCCCATTGCCTCTCACCTGGACGATTGCATAGCCTCTGGATCGGTCCTCCAGCCTCATGTCTCTCCTCTCTTTAATCTGGCCACCACAAACTTGACAAAGCGGTTTTCTGAAAGCACAGGTTTAACTGGATCATTTGTCTACTTGGTAAGCTCTGCTGGCCCCCTATCACTTTTAGGATCAAATACAAATGTGTTGGTTGGACATTTAAAGCCCTTCCCCCCCTGGTCCGAGCTTACCCTTTCCGGGGTTCCTATTTTGCTGTCTAGGATTCAGCTAGACTTGTCTTCTTGCTGTTCCTTACTTGTGACCCTACATCCGTGGTCTCTGGGCCTGGGCCCTGGCTCTTGCCCAGGCCTGGACTGCTCTCCCTTTAATTTCTACCTCAAAGAATCCCCTTCAAAACTCAGCAAAACTGTTGTCTTTTGTCAGCTTCTTGGAAGTAAGAATTGTTTCATTTTTTTATCCATGGCCCCAACACAATGCCTGCACGTAGTGGGTATTTTATTTACTATCTGTTTAAAATATTTACATATGATCTATTTCTGGCCATAGTCTATAGGAATATGCTTAGGTCCTTAAAAGTGCCCTTTTCTCCACCCTTCTCCCACAAAATTACTTTCTCTGCACTTTATATATATTTTGTATTTATTTAGCCATTCCTGCCTTTGAAACATACTGATTGTGTGACCTAGGTTGGCCCTGGAGTGTCTAAAACCATATGAGCTTTTGTACAAAGCAGCAGTAGCGGAGAAACAATTTTGAAAGACATAGGAACTCTGATAGGTACCAAGGGCCACCTGTGTCTCCAGAGGACCAGTATGAAATGGGCTATGCACCTCTTGACGGATGCTGGAGTCAGGGTGTAGAAGGGGTCATAGGCCGTGGGGCATGGCTAATGTCTGAATCTGTTTGGCTTGACTCTACATAGGTGTTACAAGGAATTTGGTTTTCTTTTTTTCTTTTTTCACTGAGACAGGGGTAGAAGAGGCAAAATAGATTTTGTTAATTGGAAAAAATTAATTGAATTTTTCAAAGATTATATGAATTGCAGAGAAATTGCTATTTTATATCTGTAAAAGTTAAAATTTCTTACCTACATCAATGAAATCGCTGGCCCTGTATTTTTAAAAAAATCCCTAATCCCTAGCGTAGTTCCCCAGCACACAGTAGGTTCGTGAATGCCTCTCACCTTGTGTTTCCTCCTTGTGTCCGCAGAAACACTATTTCCCCATTGACTACAGGATCAGCGTGCCCTACGAGGGAGTGCTCAGATTGGCTAACATCACCAGGCTGGTAAGAAGCTCCCTTTCCCATGAGCCCATTCACATTGCAGGGAATGCAGGGCTCCATGTCACTTGGCTCTCTTCATCTTGGTTTTCTCTGGGGTGTCATTCTCCAATCCAGCAACCAGACTCCAGTGGTGGAGAGGCAGGGTATCCAAAGCCTCGTATCCCCCAACTAATCGGGGCAAGATTGTAAGTTTTTCAAGGGCAGAGACAATGCCATTTGGATCATCTTTGCTCCTCAACACTGAGCATAATTGCTTGTATGTAACAGATGCTTAATAAAGGCTTGTTAGGTGTACCCCCCTCCCCCATGACTAGCTGTTTTAATCCACATTCTCTTGAGACACTGGTGTTTGTCTTTGAGGCAGGTTAAGGAAAATCTCAGGGAGGTTCAGCAATGTGTCATTTTCCCCTCAGACCTGATCCCCCCTAGCAGTCCAAGGATCTCCTTCTATTAAAAGTAACCCACATTTACCTAGAACTTTCCACCTAGTCGTCATCAAAACAACCCTGGGAGTCAAGTCAACAAACGTTTCTTAAGCACCTACTATGTACCTGGCATTCTGTTAAGTGCTGGGCATACAAAGACAGGCTTGAGGGGCCCACAATCCAAGGGGGAGACAGCATGCAAACAACTATGTACAAATGAGATCTAGACATGCTAAATTGGACAGAATCACTGAGGGAAGACACTAGCATTATGGGGGGTCAGGAAAGACTTCTTGGAGAAGGGAGGATTTTTATCTGAGACTTAAAGGAAACCAGGATATGGAGATGAGGAGGGAAGAGCACTGCAGGTTTGGAGGACAGCCAGAGAAAATGCATTGAGTTGGGAGATAAGAGTGTTTTGTGTGCGGGACAGCAAGGATGAAGCATGTCACTGGATTACAGAATAGATTGGGGTGGGAGGGGGCTGAGAGTAAAGTATTAGAAGACTGGAGGGAAGCAGGAAGGGCTTTGAATGCCAGAGGATTTTGTATTTGATGCTGGAGATGATAGGGAGCCACTGAAGCTTATTGAGTAGGGGGGTGATGTGGTCAGATGTGCATTTGAGGAAGATCACTTTGGCAGCTGAGACAAGAATGGATTGGAGTAGGGAGAGACTTGAGGCAGGAAGACCACCCAGTGGGCTATTGGAGTTGTCTGGGCCTGAGATATCATGAAGAATATTATTTCCATTTTACAGAAGAGAAAAGCAGAGCTCTGAAATGTTAAGTGCCAAAGTGCAGTTAAGTGCACAGCTGGTATCTGAGATGGGATTCAAATCCAGCATGCTCTCCACTTGGCCATGATCCTTTTCTTTGGTCACAGTGGCCCCCAGAGATAGCTGCTTGGCTGGAGGAGGTCACAGGATTACAAGACTTCAGCAGATTACTTAGTCCATCCATAAGTGAACTGGAATCCCCTTTGCCGCATTTCTGATAAGGGGTCACCTAGCCTCTCTGCTTTAGGATCTCCAAGGACAGCAGCCGATTACACTTACGCACAGCTGTATTCATTAGGAACATTTTCCTGAAGTCAAGTTGAAATCCAATTCCATTTCCATGGGGTCTACCCACTGTTCCTAGCTCTGCCCTTTGGGTGCACAAACCAGCTTCTCTGATCATTGTCTTACCTCACAGCCTTTCAGATACTTGAAGACAGCTATTAAGTATCTCTTCCCGTCCTCCCTGCCTCCAGTTCCTTCAAGTGAAGTCCCTTCACCGTGCTGCTTGCCTTCTTCTGGATGAGCTGCAGTTTGTCAATGTCCTTCCTAAAAACCTAGGTGCCCCAAACTGAATAAGGACCTCTGGATGTGTTCTGCTCAGGGCCTGAAGTCAGTGGAAATGTTACTCTTATACTGAAGACTTCCCGTAGCCTAAGATTGAAATAGCTTTATTGGTTGCCTAGATCTCTCTACCTCTTCTAGCTTGGGCACCCTGATACAAGAATTATCTAAGGATTCATAAGTGCCAGTGACATACTGCTGCCAATCATACTATCAATATGCAGATGCATGAAAAACCAGTTTATTATGTTATCAGAGCATAGGCTCCCTGCATACGAAAATCAGTGAGCCCTGAGCAGCAGCTTCAACAATCTTAGTTTTAGTTGCTGGGGATAAGCACCTTGGAATTTTATAGAAGTCAGGTGGAAGGTAGTGATTTATACATTAAAGAACAAATAGCAGACAGAGAAGAACTGTGTCAGGTAAAATAATAAACTAGTCAGTAAACATTGGTGTCATAGCTGGAATTTGCAAACTAACCATTGACACTGGAGCTGTAATTCAATGTGTCAGCTTGATTCTGCAGGCTGTAGCTGGTTATGTGACCTGTGAATCTTAAGTAAATGGAAGCAAGACAATTAAGCCAAAATTTTTCTTATCACAACTCCTATCCTGTACCTGTGCAATTGAATTTTGAACCCAACAGATAGAAGAAATGTAATGAGGATAAATATAAAGTCTGTTTCTTTGTCAAGATCTTTTTGAATTCTGACAATCATCCATTGTTAGCTATACTTCCCAGGTTTGTGTGATGAACTAATTTAACAATTGTGATATCCTTTTCTTCAGCCAAATTACTGACCATCATGTTGAACAGCACAGGGACAAGGATGGATTAATGGAACCTTCCACTAAAGATCACCTTCTCGTTTGACATTGACCCATTAATCACTGCTCTGTGCATCTAGTGATGCATCCAGTTCTGATTTCATCAAACGATAAGCCAACCTAAGATATCAGGAAAGATTCTGTTATATGCCTTGCTGCAGTCTCAGTATCTCTTTGTAAGTTCCTGTAGCCCAATCGTTGCCTCTTGACCATGGTCCTACAATAGGAGCTCCCTCAGCAACTCCACCCCTTGAAGGTGGCCCCTAGGACCTCTTTGGAAATTGAGTTTATCAGGTCCTCCTCACTTCGTAAGGGGATGGGATATTCTCATGGGTCAGAGGCATCACAGTTTGCTCAAGTGTGGATTACTTGTAGTTAGGCTGGATCCTTGGAATGAAGGGAAGGTGAACTTCGTGCCTTGTAAAATAAAAGCGTGCTTTTCTGTATTAAAACAGAAATTGTGAAAACTTACATCAATCTATGGAAGCCAGACAAGGAAGGGAATGATGGTGGAGATACTAAGCCCCTCTTAGCATTGGACACATCCTTTAGGACAATGTCAGCTTTAAGTATGTTGCGATTTCTTTTGGTTTCTTTGTAATTTCGTTCAATAAATATTTAATTAACAACTTCAATGTCCAGGCACATGTGCCTTTTACTCATGCCTCCATGATTTGGGAGAATGAGTTTGTGGAAGTCCCAGAAAATGGCCAGGAAAAAGTCTTATCTGAGTGGAAAGGTATGCCAGTGATACTTGGAATCTTGTGATCTACTCAGGAAGGCTCATCAGTTTTAGTGAAGCAGAGTCTGGTGTGGATGCGGGACTAGTGCTCAACTAGATGCAGTGCTGAAAAGATATAATAATCACACTACCTCCCAAAGGCTCATCTTCTTGTCAGCATTCTTACTGGGTTCGGTGGTAGTCCAGTGGGTATGCTCTGGCATATACTCAGAAATTGCCCCAAATGGAAAATTCTTTACCTTTCCCCCACCATCTCCAACCTACAAATAACAGTCATGTAATTTATTAGTCACGTCAAATAACACACCCAGACCAGCTAGATATTAAAACCATGCAGAGCAAGCTGCGATAACATGGCGCCTGGGTTTCTTGATTTCTTTTGCTTTCCTCCTTGTCTTCCCTCTCCCCATTCTTTCTCTCCATTGGCTGGAGGGAGAGCCTGGCACATAGTAGGTGGTTAATAAAAGCCTGTTGATTGATTGGAGGGGCATGATCGAAGCCAAGTTATGTTTGTGATAATGATGATGACACTAATAACTCATGTTTCCCTAATACTTCTAAGATTTCAGGCTTTTTACTTGGTTCATTTGCAGCAGCAGGCAGAGGTGAGCCAGCCAAATCTTCGATACCTGTGGGCCTCACTGAACTGCAACACTATGGAGATCATCCAGAATGTCCTATTGGAAGATCACCCATCCTGGAATTATATTAAGGAAATATATGAACTTCTGATCTACGTCCGGGAAATTGCAATGGTAAATTATTCCCTCTAGGCTCTCTTCCTCTCCCTTTTGCCAAGTGGTTGAAGAGAAGGGGTTAGCATTGACCCCAGCTGACCCAGAGTATGGGAAGCAATGAATTGGGGCTGTATGGCAGGAAGTAGGGAGGAGGCAGCCGGGTGTGTGTCATGGGCACTGAAGGCTTCTCCATATGCACATGTGTGTGTGTATGTATGTATATATATATATATATAAAATATATTTTTATGTATTTTACATATAATATGATATATAATATATATTCTACTCATCCTTCGAAGCTCTGCTTATATTCCACTTCCTCCATGAAGGCTTTCTCCGATTCTCCAGCCCATGGTGACCTCTTCCTTCTCTCAACACTTAGAGCACATCTCGGTTGCCTCTCACTCTCTGATTGTTGGGTGTCTGTCTTGTTTCTCCAAATAGTCTTGAAGCCCCTTGAGAGCAGAGACTAAATCTCGTGCCCCTCTTGTATCCCTCACCTAATTCCCCAAGCCTCAGTTTCCTCATATGTAAAATGTATGCCAGACATCTGAAGTATTGATTTTATTTTTAGGAGGGACGCTGTTAAGCTGGAGAGTGTCCAGAGGAGGGCTCCAAAGATAGCAGATGCTAGAGGAAGATTCGTGCTATATTAGGACTGATTGAAGGCATTGGGAATGTTTTTTCTGGAGAAGAGGATGGTGACTCTCTCCAAGATAAGCCCTTTGCAGGGCTGCCACGTGAAAAGGGCATCAGATTTGCTGTTCTTGGCCCCAGAGGACAGTGGGTGGAGGTTGCAAAGGAAAATTTAGGCTGGATGTAAGGGAAAAACTGACTAACCATTGCAGCTATCACAGAGTGGAATATTCCACCTTGGAAAGTAGTGGGTTTCCTGTCACTTGAGACCTTCAAGCAGTGACTGGATGACCAGCTGTTGGGTGTGTTGTATGGAGGAGCTATGGGTGGCCACTTGGCTTCATTGGCTCCTGCTCCTCCACCATATTGGTTCTGCCTCCTTTTGAGCTTGTTACAGGGTGGGGCTTGGACCAGATGGTCCCTGAGGTCTCCTGCTTCCCAGAGCTTCTGTGATTTTTCTTCATGGGCCCTTTAAGTATTAGAAAATCATGCCCTTTGGGGTCTACTGGTGTTTAGGTTAAAAACCCCTGTTCCTTCTGCTGTCTGATGGTTTCAGGTCCTCTCACCTCCTCTGGCTGTGCTACCCGCTTAAGTGTTGCTTTTAAAACAAGGTGCCCAGAACTGAACGTAGGTGTGGTCAAGACCAGCAGACGACTGTGGTGCTCCCGTTTCACAGAGCGGTCCTGATGGCTCGGTGTGTTTATCTTCTAGGACCTGCAGGTGGACCCACAGGTGGCAACAATCTTGACTCTTGCAAACTCAGGCAGGGACCGGAAGTTGGTGAAGCCAAAGGCACTCCTTGACAACTGCTACAAAGTTATGGACCTGCTCTACTGCTTGTGCTGTAAGGATGGCAGGGGGAGGCTGGGGGAGTGGGAAGGAAGAGGGTGATGGGCCTCTTCAAGGCGATGAGGGAGCCCTCAGGACCTGGGTGGGTATCCATGAAGTGTTGACACATGTCCTACCTGCCCTGTACCACATGCCACATGTAATGTGAGTCCTGTGTTTCCTTACCTTGAACTGGGGAGCTAGAGATGTTTAGCTTGGAGAAAAGGAGATTCAGGGCAGGGGACCTGGTCCCTGTCTTCTGGTTTATGAAGGGCTTTCATGTTGGGGTTAGACTTGGGCTTTTTTTGGCCCTGGAGGGCCAACTGAGGCACAGTGAATGGAAGCCAGAAAGTGGACAATTTAGGCTTGATGTCTGGAAGAGCTTTCTGATGACTGTAGCTATGCCCAAGTACAATGGTCTGCCTTCAGGTGGAGGGCTGTCCCTCATTGGAAGAGGCTGGGCGACCATAGTGACACACCATGTGTTAAGCCTTTGCAAACCTGTGCATCATCATCATCATCATCATCATCATCATTATTATCATCATTTTTTTTTTTTTTTGGTTAGGCAATGGGGTTAAGTGACTTGCCCAGGGTCACACAGCTAGTAAGTGTTACGTGTCTGAGGCTGGATTTGAACTCAGGTCCTCTTGAATCCAGGGCTGGTGCTCTATCCACTGCGCCACCTAGCTGCCCTATCATCATTATTATTAATGAGATTCCTTTTTAGGTATTGTGTAGCTACTCTTCCAACTTTTAAAATTCTGTGACTTTCACGTGGATGTCTCAAGAGGTGGTATTCACCTGGGGGCGGTTCACAACATTTCCAACAGATTCTCAGTGTGTTAATTCTAGTGGCATTTTTTTATGGACTCGAGAAGGGAAGGTGGCTTTCCTTGGAGGATAGATTTAGAGGTGTGGAGATCATCTAATGATACTCCCCGTCATATTAGAGATGAAGAAACTGAGACCCAAGAGATCAGAGGCCTGTAGACCTAGAGATGTAAGAGACTGTGAAGGTCCAGTCCCCTCATTGAGGTTAGGTGGCTTGCCCAGGGCACACACATAAGGAGAGAAGTGGGATTTGAACCACGGTCCCGATTTCTGTCTTCTCTCACAGGTAAAGAGAGCAACATCCACAACTGGGAAGACTGCGTGGTCCCCCAAGCTCAGCCTCACAGCCACCACCCCCCTCCCCAGTGTGCTGGCCCAGCCACTCTGCTCTACCGTCATTCACGAGCCCAAACATCCGTGGTGGCGGAGAGGGAGCTGAGGCCCCCCGAGGTGGAGGCTGCCCCTCCAGGGAAGGCCAAGCTGGGAGAAGAGCGCGTTATACCCTGAGCATGTCCTTCTGGTCTTGACTCTGCTCTGGAGCCCAGGGGGAATGCTTGGGCCCAGCCTCTCAAGCCTCTCAGGCCTGAAATTCTCACCTCAGCATTTGGGAGGGAGGCCCTTGAAATCCCCACCCCACCCCCATTCCCATCCTGGGAATAGTCCCTTGTGGAGCAACTCAGAGAAGGAACCCCTCTTCCTTCTGGGGAGATCTTGCCAGAGAAGAGCTAGGCTGTCTTCTTACTCACTTATCCCCAAGAGCCTAGTCTCTCTCTCTTTTTCCTTTTGCCTCAGAAGCCCTTAGTGACTGGAGTTGGTGCGGGCAGGCCTCGAGCCCCTCCCAGAGGGCTCTGCCTATGGAACAGGCCTGTCTTACTTGTCTGCTTTAGCCCTTGTCTTCATGGTTGGGAAATAGATCCCAGGCCTCTGCCAGAATGAAGAGATGTGGGGCTCCTCAGTACCAAGAGAGCCGAGGCAGACCCCAGTGGAGTGGGGCAGAGTGTGCCGTCAGCGGCAGTAAAGCTGAGGAGTGGCTGATGGGGGAGCAGCCTGAGCTTCTGACCCCAAATTAGCCCCCGGTTGAGTCTGTGCCTTCAGTTTCAGTGAAAGTAAGATCCATCCCTGCCATCTGCCTCCCTTCCAAGGGCGGAGGCCAAAAGCAGGAAGGGGAATGTTGTAAAAGTGCTTTGAGCTCCTTGGAGCCAAGGAACACTGGGGAAATGTAGGGCTGTTGCTGAGATGGAGGAAGAGGGGAGCAAGCTTTCTGTAACGACACCCACCAGCTGTTCTCCAGAGCTGATGGCCTGGGGTGCTATTCCAGGAGAGCTAGGAGGTACCTAGGAAGGGGAAAAACTCGAGGCTGGTGAGCTTGCCGTAAGCCTACCTAGTACTGGAGAATGCCCCCTGCCCAGTTGGGACATATCTCAGAGAAGGAAAACCACGTTCTGTAGAGTGAAGGGAGTGCTAGTATTCCGAGGTCAAAGGAGGACGCCTAGAAAGGCTGGCAGAGAAGCTCGCTGGGCCAGATTGCTGCAGGCCCTTTGGCCCGGGGTTGAGAATGGTGGTGGAGTTCTTCTGGGAAGGGAGAAAAACTACGGGTCACTGCTCTTTGAGAGCTGCCATCCCCTGAGGAATGCTTCCAGGAGGCCCAGGGAGGAGCATCTCATCAGCTTCTGGGGCTGCTGCTCCCCTTGGCCTTCGGGATCTGCTGGGGGTTCTGGGGGCTGCATTTTGGTGTGTGTGTGGGGGATTAGAGTGAGGGGCTGCCCTCACTTGAGACAACAGCTTGGGGACTGGGGAGGAGGAATGGGGTGTATTAAAATGCCATGTCTTGCCATGCTGATTCTTTTCCATTTCTTTAATTTTTTTTCTATTAAATCCTTGTTTTTCATTTTATTTGTTTTGTGACTTTGTGTTTACCCAAATGAGGCAGGGGTGTAGTGCTCTTCCTCAGGCCCTCTTCTGGTTGTGACGTATCAACTTTTGCCAGGCTGTGAGCCGCCAGGCAGGACAGGAGGGTTTTTCCTCCAACACTCTTTTATAGGATCAGAGATCTGGAGCTGGAAGGATCATCCAGTATAAATCCTTTTCTTTTGCAAATGGGAAAACTGAGGCCCAGAAGGTTTAAAGTGTTTCCCCAAGGCCACACAGGTTGTAAAATGACAGGTGGGATTGGAATCCAGGTCCTCTGACTCTAGACTCAGTGTTCTTTCCATGGTACCATGTTTCCTCTACTTACTTTAACTCTAGCCCTCCCCAGGGTCTTTCATCTTCCCCTGCCTCAGCTTTCTTTTTTTACCTCAGTAGGACAAGAAGATGCTCACAGCAGGTTCAGACTAACTCGGGAGGGGCTGGGGAGCCTTCCTGGAGGCTAAACTTTGCCCGCCCTTGGGGGAGGGGAGCAGTTCTGTCAGATCATGTACAACTGCTTGGGGGTTTGAATTTACTCTGCTGGCATGGGGCTTACACCCTTGGTTTCCCCTTGGAAGTTGATCCATTTTTCCAGATGTTCACATTTGGAGTGGAAAGTCTGATCCACATTCCCTCAGAGGGACAGGAACGTCCCCGCCTCCCAAGGGCTTCAGAAAACCCCAGCAGAGGAGTGCCAAGGCTGCCAAGCAAAGGGGAAAGGAATAAACATTTACTGAGTGCCTGCTGTGTGCTTGGCACAGTGCTGAGTGTATAGCAAATATGATCTCATTTAAGCTCTTCCCTCCTCAAATCCCCCATGCATCCCCCTCCACCCAGTCTCTCGGCTGAGAGCCCTGCCTCATACTCTATGGAAAAAAACGGAGATCTTTTGCCCTGAGTTTCCTCATCTCCCATCAGTCATATCTGCCACTGTCCTTCGCCCATCTCACATGATGAAATGGCTTTACTACTGCTAAGGCATCTACCTGTAAGTGATCTTATTCCGTCCCATCTCCTCCATCAGATTGCCCCCTCTGTCATCCCCAGTTTTCCACTTATTTTCAACCTCTCCCTCTGCACTGTCTACAGACATGCCCATGTCTCCCCCATCTTGAAGAAACCGTCACTTGATCTTCCCTGCCAACTTTCATCTTATATCTCTTCTGCCCTTTTTAGCTAAACTCCTCAGAAAGGCCGTCTACAAGAGGTGTGTCCACTTCCTCTCCTCTCCCTGTTAACCCTTTACAATCTAGCTTCCAACCTTATTCCCCCTGAGCTCCTCTCTCCAAAGTTACCAATGATCTAATTGCCAAATCCTGATTCTCCTTGACCTCTCTTCAGCCTTCTACACTGGTAATCACCCTCCTCCTTGGTGCTCTCTTCTTTCTACGTTTTCCTCCTCCCTCTCTGACCTTTCCTGAGTCTCCTTGCAGATCACATCTTCTAACTGTGGGTGTCCCACAGGGTTCTATCCTAGGCCCCCTTCTCTTCTCCCTCGATACTGCTTTACACATGTTCTCTTCAACTGCAGTGGAAATAATTACCATCTATGCTGATGATTCTCTGATCTACCTATCTTGCCCCAACTTCTGCTGACCTCCACTCTCACATCTCTAACTGCTTTTTAGACATCTCAAACTGGATGTCTGATGGACATCTTAAACTTGGTATGTCTGTAATGACTCATCTTTCCCTCAAAACCCTCTCCTAATTTCCCTGTCACTGTTGAGGGTAACTCTATGCTCCCAGTGTCTCAGACTCACACCTAGGAGTCATCCTGGACTCCTCACCATCTCTCAACACCCTCCACATCCAATCTGTTGTCAAGATTTGTAAATTTCACCTTTGTATCATCTCTCAAATATGCCCCCTTCTCTGATGCTGCCACCCCTCTGATTCGGGCTCTCATCACTTTATGCCTGGATTATTGCAATAGCTGTGGGTGGGTCTGTTACCACACATCTCTTCCCCCTCCAATCTATCCTCCATTTAGCCACCAAACTAATTTTCCTAAAGCACAGGTCACTCCCCCCACTTCAATAAATTCGAATGGCTCCCGATCACTTCCAAGAACAAATACAAAATCCTCTGGCATTCAAAGCCCTTCATAACCTAGCTCCTTACTGCCTTTCCAGTCTTCTGATTCCTTCCTCCTTGGCATACACCTTTCTCTCTGGTGACACTGATCTCTTTGCTCCATGAAGAAGACACTTCATCTCTCAGCTCCGGGCATTTTCTCTGGCTGTCCCTATGCCTAGAATGCTCTCCCTCCTCATTTCCACCTGCTGTCTTCCCTGGCTTCCTTTAAGATCCAACCAAAATCCCACCTTCTACAGGAAGCCTTTTCCAACCCCTCTTCATTCTATTTCCTTCCTTCCTTTCAATTATTTCCTATTTCTCCTGTCTATAGCTTGTTTGTACATATTTGTTTGCTTCCTGTATCCCCCATTAGATTGTGAGCTCCTTGAGGGCAGGGATCTCCTTTTGCCTCTTTTTGTATCCCCAGTGCTTAGCACGGTTCCCGGCACATAGCAGACACTTAATAAATGCTTATTGACTGATAAGCTGTGCATTTTTGTGTCCCTTTGTCAAGGAGGTCGAGGGAAGAAGTTCCCTTCCCGTCCACTGGTCTGGGGCCCATTCCACTTTGGGACGGCTCCAGAGGTCAGGTGTTTCCTTACTGAGAGCCACCATCTGCATCTCTGTAGCCACTAATTAAAGGTTCCTACTACTGCCCTCTGGAGCTAAGCATCGAGTCTATTCCTTTTTTCACCCGATGCCTTTCCAAATACCTGAAGATATCTATGAAAGTCTTTGTAACTTCTCTCTCCTCCTTCCCCCAGGTCCCTTATTGCCAGGTTTTTTTGTTTTTGTTTTTTTAAACATTTCTAGTTCCTTCAACAGATCTTATGTGGTGTGGACTGAAGAGTTCCTTCACCATCCTGGTTGTGTTCTTCTAGAGATCCCAGATCTCCACTCCTGGGCTCCTCCCTGCCCCACCCCCCAGGTTTTTGTCTTATCTGGCCAGGAACAAAGCTTCTAGGCTCCTTCCTCTCCAGGCCTCTGTACTAATATTCTCCTCCCCCCTTTCTAGCACCCCTTTATGTAGTCTCCCATTAAAAGGTAAAGTCCTCAAGGTCAGGAGCTGTCTTGTTTCTTATTTGCACATATATATGTGTGTGTATGTATATCTGTCCGTATATACATACACACAAATACATATATACATATGTCCTCAGTGTTCCAATGTTCAGCACAGTGTCTGGTACATAGTAAGTACAGAATAAATGCTTTATCTACTCCAGATGGCTTTGGATATTGTAGAGAGAGCCATCAACCCCAGGAACCCAGGAAATGAGGATGATTCCCTCCCCCCAAACCTAGCTATACCTTTTTCATAAAAGCAGCAGCAGGTAATGCTGGCTGGCAACTGGCATGAGTGCTAACAGCCTTAGCCAGATTCGTGATCTTTCGTGACCACCCGATAGGTGGCCGTCCCAGCTCTGCTGTGAAGTCCTCTGAGATAACCCATTCCTTTTCTGGATGGCTCTGATTGTTTCCTGGCTGGGTGCTTTAGACTCACGTAGTCCCCAAACTGAGCCGACGCTATGCCTTGCATGGGAGTGGAGATCGTGAAACCAAAAAGCCAGGACCGAGCAAGTGTCCGTGTTTGTAGAAGAAGGCTCAGAAAGGAGTAAGGCAGAGGGAAGAAAGGAGGTGGGTAGAGGTGGGAGCAGCTGAGTAACAGGAAGCCAGGCAGGAGTCTTGAAGAGGCATTCGTTAATTACAGTACAGCTTTTATTAATACTGGAGTGTTCACAGTGCGTCTGTTACTTGTAGCAGTGACTATTCAACTCAAGGGCTGGATCATGGTGGGGCAGGAGGGAAAAAGGATAATTTATCCAAAGTCCAACAAACAAACCAACAAAAAGAAAGGAAACGATGGCTGGGTAGAGGGGTAGGGGAGCAGGTGAGGAAAGGGGAGCCAAAGGGAAGACAGAAGTATGGGGCAAAAGGGAAAATAAATTAAAAAAAGAAACAGGTTAACAACAGCACCAGAAAAGTTACGTCAGTCGAAAGACACTTTTGAAAGGGATTTTTCTCTGTACAAAATGAAAAATAAAACAAATCCCCAAACTAAACAAAAAAAAGTTGTCTATGTGGTGGTATTGTTGGCTCCGGTCAGAGAGGGCTGGCGGGCCAGGGCTTACGTGGTTATTACTAATCACTGACAGGACAGGGCTGGGCTAGGGCCCACAAACAAGGGCAGAATTGGAGCTCTATATACAACACCAGGGGTGCTTCCAGGGCAATGGGGATATGATGGGCTCAGCCTAGGGAGGAGTATTTGGGGGCATCTTCAAAGGCTCTATGACTTTCCTGATTCTCTCCTGCTCCTCGTCCTTCTCTCGCATCGCCTTCTCCTCTAGTTTGTACTATCTCATCACTCCAGAAAAGCATGGCATGCAGAGGGTGATGGGGGCCTTTTCCTTCTGGCAGAAAGAGCATTTCTCATTCCTGACTGAAAGGGGCCAAAGAGCAAGAGAAAGAAGTGTTACCATAAGAGTTGAAATGAGGAAAGAGCATTCATTCTGTCTGGTATCTTGCTAGCCCTCCCAGCAGAGCCCTCACCTGAAGCCTTACAGGAGGCTCCCATTGTTTCTAACCAAGGGACGAGAGTGTCCCTGGACATTTTGGAGAAAAGCAGTGGGGCGGCCATTGGTATATCTTTTCTCTGTTTGCATGGAACACCCAAAAGAGGGAACTCAGGGTGCTAAAGTAATGCAAGGCCAAGGTCAGAGCTGGAATCTCCCCAGCGGAAAATTCTGCTGCACAGCCATGGAGCGAGCCACCCCTAAGCCTATTGGTCAAGAGGGAGAATGGGTGAGAGAGTGGAAAGCTTGACACCCACACATCCTCACTGGCAGTGGGTCAGAGTATCCTTTCTCCAGCATGTTTAGACACATAGTTTGGAGCAGGGGCTGGGGCCTTTGCACAGGCCATAGCAAGGATCTTCTGACCCAACAGGCCCCTGAAAGTACCTGAAAAGCAGTCAAATGACTTTCCTGGCATATAAAGGAGCAAGGGAGCGGGGAAAGGGAAGGCACAGAGGAAGAGGAACCCCTTATACTTCCCATCATTTTACACCAAAAAACTGCTCCTCTACACCCCCCCTCCCCCAGCACACACACTACCCCACCCCTTCCCACCCCAACCACACTCACTGGCTGCAACCCTCAGCACGTCCCACACTCCACACCACCGCAAACCATCAGCTTACATGTGAAAATGCCAGGCCCATCACACCAGCTGCCTAGCAAATTCCTGTCTGACGCTTTCTGAACTGGCTACTCTGCCCCAAAGAGCAACCTTTGCTCTCCGTCCCCTCGCCATCCTCAGTACCTGCTACTTGGCATCACCACCACTCGACCTCCAGCCTCAGAGCTCATGGGCCTCAGCCTGGTATGGGCTCCCTCTCTGCCCTCATGCTTTCTAGCTCAGAAATGCTTCAGATGGCTCTTGAGACCGGGCTTAAAGGGCACCCCAAAGCCTGAGAAAATGTGCCCCCAACATAGATAATGTCCTTTGAAGTGTCCAATGGAAAAGGGAAGGGAATTCAGGTGAATTTGGTTTTCTTGCCATGAATTGAGACCCCTTTATCTTCTGGCACAAGAAAGATGCCTTTGGGCTCCTAAGGCAAAGGGCAATGGAGAAGTGAGGCTCAGACGTATTCCTAACCAATCGAGATAGAAGGAAAAACCAGCTTTCCCAAGCCCACTGATGCCCTGTCTCTGGGAGCTGGTGGTGATGGTGATGGGTCTGCAGCCTGAGTTCTTTTTGTCCCCTTGGACACTTTCCTCTCGGGTACAGGACCCACTCCTCTCGCCTTAATCTCACATGCTTTTTACCCTGTTTAGACTGTGGAGTGGTGGAACAAAGGGAGGGAGGAGAGGCAGAAGCTTCTGTAGCCACTCTCTCCATGGCCTGAGCCCCTGCCCCTGCCTCTGCCCTAGAGCAGGGCACATATTTTGGCACTGTATGGGGGCAGACAAGGCCACCCCTGTCCTACTACCCTGCTGCTTCCTGGCACAGGCTTGGAAGGCTAGAGTCTGCGGATGGGGTCTTCATGGATGGCATCTCCTCTGGCAACAGAGGGTCAAAGCCAATCTTCAGTAATCACCCCCCCCCCCTTTGTCTCCTGCCTCCCTCACTGCCCTAACCCTGCCATGGGCCACACAGGGGTCTACAGCTTAGACCCCCAGGCCCTTCCGACCATTTGGGCCAAACTCCAGACACTGGAGAGAATAGCAGCCACTCCATGGCTTTCTAACAACAAATACAACTTCCCTTTTCCTGCCAAAGGCCCATACGGCTACAGTTCAGCTGCTTTTGTCACACGCGTGTGCACAGCACACACACACACACACACACACCCCTCTGCAGAGATACAACTTTTACGCCAACACCCACTCACACAACCATATTTTCCATTCACACACGCAATCTTCACCCAGGTATAATCGCCTTCATTTTATTATTAACAAAATAATCCCCACCCCCTCCCTACACACATACCCTCTGTACAGCTCTAGCCCCCGACCCCAAGTCTTGGGTTGGGGTGACAGGATGGCTGAAACTGACCCAAAAGTGCCACCAGAATTACTGTCACAAGGTGCTCAAATTAGACCTGGTTTCCTCAGAGACGTTGCCAACCACCTCCACGGACCGAGTTTCTCCATAGCATTCTGGACATTGCTTTCCTTTTCCCAGTGTTTTCCTCAGCTCCTACATGTCTCCCACCTTCCCCACCAGAAAGAACCAGTTCTGCCTACCAGTACATCGGATGAGTAGTAGGAAGGTGTAGACTAGAAAAGACCCTGCTAAGACCAAGGACTGCTGCTGGTTACTCACACCTCTGACAGACCTGGTCCCAGGGGTTCCTGTTCCTGAGGCCATATTGCTTATCGCTACAGAGGCCAAGGCAATAATCGACTCCAAAGTGAGGCCCTGAAGCCTCCTGGTGGGCCCTAGTCACCTTGCTGCTCCCTCAAATGAAGTAAAAAGTCCTCCGCTGGTGGGCCCCATGACTCTGAGGTGCTACTGGCCCCGTATTCTCCTTTTCCTGCCGTCATGGCTAATTGAGAGAGCAGAGACATTGAGAAGGAAGGAAAGAACAAAGGAGAAGGGTAAGACAAGTTAGGGAGGAACCAAGCAGCGGCTCAGACTAGGTACCAGTGGCCCGGCTGGAGGACGAGATGACGAACGGAACGGAGTCCGAGAAAGACCATGAATCATTTCCTCCTTTTGTAGGAGGCTGTGTGTGTGCATGGGTGTGAGTGTGGGGGGAGCTGTGGAGCTACTGGTCCCGGGCCTGGCTGGGCATCTTCCCTGGCTCACCGCTGGCCAGGGACACCTTTCCCCACCACTCACTCGGGAGGGGCGAGAGGTGCAGAAGGCAAGGGGTGGCGAGGAGACCAGGAGAAAAGTAGGGAACAGATGGGGTGAGACAAAGTATGAAAGAGACTCCAGAAGAGTTCAAGGCTAATGGCTCCACCTTTCCAAGGTTTGTTAAAGCAGTTTTTTTTCTCGTTTAAATTTTTTAATCTAGATTCTGTGTCTCTATCCATAAAGTGGCTTTGCCTTGTATTTTTTTTTTCACTTTTCTTTTTCTCTCCTTTATTGTTTTTCTTTTGTATTTAATGTAGCTCCCGACTGTTTTTCTCTCCTCACTCCTCTCTCTCACGGCCCCTGCTGCTCAGTCCAGACCCTGAGGGCTCCTTTGCTTGGGAGGCCGGGGAGGCAGCAGCAACATCACAAGATGCGGGGGGCAGATCTGTCGTTGGTGACGGTCCTCCGAAGCCGCACCCCACGCCGGATGGCCACCAGCATGTCCTCAGCTGGAGGGTCACTCGAAGCGGCGGGGGGTGGCACAGGCGTCTCTTCCCCTGAGGTGCTGGATAGGGTGGTGGGAAAGGGAAACTGCCCCTCTCCCAGAGCGTGGGCACCTGCCACCAGCTCCCCAATCTTCTCTACCAGGCTGTGGCGATCGGCTGCTAGCTCCTGCTGCTCTTCCTCAGTCTCCTCAGCTGAGAGAGACTGTCCCGCTCCTGGGTAGCTGGCCACCTCCAGCGAGGTGCCACCCCACGCAGTGTTGGGGAGACTCAGCCGTTTCGGGGAGGCCTTCGCAAAATCAGGCGCATGGGGTGAGGAAGCATCATCAGCATAGAAGACGCACTCCTCGCTGCCCACCCGGGTGGGGCCTGTGTAACCAGGTGAATCGGGCACCGTTGGGGTCTTCACTGGGACGATAGGTGGGCGAATGGGGATGGGGCCAGCATTCGAGAGAGTGCGGCGCACCGACGGCTTGGTGGAGGGTGTGCGGCGGATGGTGGCTACGCCCGGCGGGGCCCCTGAAGGCAGGGCCATGCCTGTTGGCAGTCCGGCCGTGGAGGCGGGTCGCTTGGTTTGGATCATCCGGCGGTAATTCTGGGCAATGTTGCTGTTTCGGGGAATGGTGGAAGACTTGTCGAACTCACTCTGCCCCTCGACTTCCACGTCCCCGTTCACAGAGTAGGAGTCATAGTCTGAACCTGGGGCACCCATGAAAGACAGCGTCATGATACATGAGCACACACACCTGAAGGCAGTCGCTGTCCTAGGTGCTGAAGATACACAAAGCCCCTTCCATAAGCTGCTTCATTCTTCATCTCCACCCATCCCAGCACATATTAGGAGAGCTCTTATATTTTTCAGCATTAGATGCCATGTTATGGGTAGGGCCTGCTGCTAGGAATTTTTTCACCTCCTGACCACCTCAGGGCTCTATATACATAGAATCCACCCCCTTATCACTACACTCTTCATAGCCCCCCACCCCCAACCAAAGCTGAGCTCCTTATGCAGGGAACACAGGGAGATGGGAATGGATGGAGCAAGGAGGGCCTTGTGAATCACATCCTACCCATGCCATGATACTGACTTCCTCTCTCCATCTGTTATTTGGGTTTGTACTTCAGAAGGCAACATCTCCAAACATTTCTTACAATAGGGAGTTGTTGATCTGGGGTCCATGAATTTGTTTTAAGAAAATTCCGATAACAGCCTTTCAATATAATAATTTTCCTCTGTAATCCTGTGTGTTTTGTTTTATGCATTTAAAAACATTAGTCTGAGAAGGAGTCCATAGACTTCATCATACTGCCAAAGGGTCTATGGCACCAAAAAAAAAAAAAAAAAGTTCAGAATCCCTGCCTTACATGATTATGGATTTAACACTGGAAGAGATTTTTAGGGATTATTACTTGTCTGGGCCTCTCATTTTACAGATGAAGAAACTGAGACCAAATAACTTGCCTAAAGTCACAGCAGAACCAAGATTTAATCCAGCAATATAGTGGAAAATGTACTAGATTTGTAGTCAAAGCCCTTAGCTACCATTTGCTTCCTCTTTGACCTCAGGGAAGTTATTCCCCTTAGAATTTTTGCACTTCAGTGTTAGACCATAAAGTATATCATAAGGGAGAGCATTGTTGAAGTGTAAAAAAGCTAATTTCGATTATTTTAAATTAAAATTTTCTTGTATAAATAAAACCTATGTAGCCAAGAATAGAAGGAATGCAGAAAATTGGGAAAAAAACTTTCATAGACAATCTCTCAGACTGGATGTGATTGGGTTGGAATATTGCTGTGGTGTAGGAAATGATGAGCTGGTTGATTTAGAAAAACAAGAAAAGACTTGGACTTATGAAGGAAGATGCTATCCACCTTCAGAGAAACATGTGACAAGTAGAAATAAACATAGTATAGTCTTACAAATATGTATATGAGTGCATATGAGTATATATGTGTATGTTTATAGATATCTATGTATATCTATCTATATATCTATATATCCATGCTTAATTGTAGCCTTCTTTAGGGTGGAAGGGGGAAGGAGGGGGGGAAAATAAAGTAAAAAGTGCACAGCAGAGAACAAAAGAAAACCAGCAAGGAAGCAAAGCAAAGCTGGGCAGCTTTGAAAACAATGTGTAGTATTTGTGATACAGGTTTTCTTGAAATGGAAATTTATTGCTTTATATTGAATCCTGTCTTATGGTCTGCTGTGTACATTGCAATTTTTTTTCTTTTCTCATTTTGTATTTAAGCTTCAAATAAAAAAAAATGACCAAAAAAACCCCTTAAAAAAACAAAAGAATGTATGTTCCTTGAAAGCAGGGGCAGTTTTTCCTTTCTTTGTATCCCCAGTGCTTATGGTGTCTGACACCTAGTTGGTGTTTAATAAAGGGTTTTTGACTGACTCAACTTCTTTTTTCTTTTTTTTTTAAAGTTGTTTTTTTTTTAAGGCAATTGGGGTTAAGTGACTTGCCCAGGGTCACACAGCTAGTAAGTGTCAAGTGTTTGGTCTGAGGCAGGATTTGAACTCAAGTCCTCCTGACCTCAGGGCCAATGTTCTATCCACTGTGCCACCTAGCTGCCCCTAATAAAGGGTTTTTGACTGATTCAACTTCTATGGACCTCAGTTTCCTCATCTGTAAAATGAGGGCATTGGACTACATAACCTGTATCACTTCGAAGTCTATGATCCTAAAACCTTCTGCCCTCAAATTTTTTGAGTCCAGCCTCGGGCACTTAGTAGCTGTGCGACCTTAGGCAAGTCACTTAACCCCTCTCAGTCTCAGTTTACCCATCTGTAAAATGGAGAATGATAATAGCACCCACTTCCCGGGGTTGTTGCGAGGATTAAATGTGACAATGTTTATGAAGCACTTAGCAAACTTGAACGAGCTCGATAAATATTGCCTGTCATTAGGTACTACATGCTGTCCTCCACCTGTTCCTCTAAGAGCCCCATCGATGGCGCCAGAGCAGTACCTTGAGAGGGAATGGTGTCCTCGGAGCAGGACGGGGTGGTTGTTTGTGTGCTATAGCCGCTGGAATACTGCAGGGAGTCTCGGCTGCTCTTCTGGTGCTCAAGGCTCAGGCCCCGCGTCAGCACCATGGCCAGGTCACTGGCAGCAGGAGAGACCTCTTCACCATGCTGAAAGAACAGTCAAGATGGAGTGAAGGTGAGCTCGTCAAGACAAATCCAGAAACCAGAAGGTGGGCCAAGCTGCCCCAACCTGTAGATATAATATCCCTGACCTTGGTTGTGTCTGTATCGCACCCCAACCCGGGCCACATCTTTGGCACTCTGGTCACAGAATCTGCATCTATACTTGATGGCACGATCCCTCCTCCTTTCCTCCCTCCAGCCTCACAAACCAAAATATTTCTCCTTAGCTCCAGCTATGTAGAGTTCTTGCTCTGTTCCTCTAAAGGGACTTCTAGTATTTAAAACTTTGGAGGGTACCCATCAATTGGAGAATGGCCGGACAAATTTAGTCAAATGAATAGAATGGAATACTATTATGCTTTAAGAAATGATATAAGGGATGGTTTCAGAGAAACTTGGGAAGACTTGTATGAAATGATGCAGAGTCAAGTGAGAAGAAACAGGAGAACAATTTCTACTTTAATATCAACTCTACAAGGACAGCTAGGTGGTACAGTGGATAGAGCACTAGCCCTGGAATCCAGGAGGACCTGAGTTCAAATCCAGTCTCAAACCAGACACTTGACACTCACTAGCTGCGTGACCCTGGGCACGTCACTTAACCCCAATTGCCTTGCCAAAAAACAAAATAAAACATCAACACTATAAAAATGTACAATTTTGAAAGCCCAAAGAATTCTGATCAGTTTAATGATCAACCATTATTTCGGGGGACCAATGATGAAGCTGTTACCCACTTCCTGACAGAAGGACTAAGGTGGAGACTGAGACACCTATTTTTGGACAAGACCGATGTGGGAATTAGTTTGTCTGACTCTGTTTAATAGTTATGAAGGTGGGTTTTTTGGTGGGGGGAGGGAAGGAGGAGGTAGAAGGGAGGAAAAAATGTTTGATAATTGAAAAAAAGGAATTTTGATCCTGTGCTCTTTCCTCTTCCACTGCTGTGTTCCAAACTGTCCTCTTTCTAAGCTCCCATCTCTGATTTCTTGCTCACACCACCTGGTTACCCTTAGCCAGATGTCTGAACGTTCTTACCGAGGGGCATCTCCCATGCTTCTGACCCTCATATGCCAACCACTTAGCTCAGGGCAAAGGAAAGGAGAGCCAGGGAGAAGCTGTGCATGGGATGACTCCTGGCTCCCAAACCTCTCCAATGTTGGGTCTCAGGGCACCTCCACAGTTCAGAGAGTGCACAGGTTGCTTTTGCCAATGTTGCCCCCTAAGGGGATGGTGTACCTTAGCTGCGATGGTTGCAGGGGACATCCTGGGTCGAGGTGTCTCTTCCCCACCAATGCTGGGATAGCTCCCGCTGCCTGGGCCCCCTTCTGCTTCCCTCAGATGTTCTACTCGGTCCTTCCTCCGCTGCAGAGTGGTTGCCATTGGCTGGTCATATGGGCCAGCCTTGGACCAATCCTGAAGGTGGGGAGAGCAGTTATAGACTGGGTGACAGGAAGGTGGGCAGGCTTGTGCCAGTAGGATCAAGGTTAGAGCAAGAAGATGGCAGGGCATGGGAAAGCTGGCTGTGCCCCCACTTGCCTCAAGAAAGAACCTTCATCTGTGCTGGCCCTGCAAATGGCCTGCTTCCAAAGCACTGGCAATTTCTCCCCCACCCCACCCCTCCAAAAACCCCTTCTCTGTTTTGGGGATGAGGAGGTGCGAGTTGTTTGTGAAAGGGTACAGCTCACATCACCAATCCTCCATCACCAAAAAGGACAGGGCAGTCAACTGGTGAAAGTCCAAGAAGTCCATGTATGGACCACATCCTGATCTCCTCATCCCCCAAGCTGCATCTTGATGCCTAAGCTGGGGTCAGTTGAGATGAGTCAGGTTCGCCTGTCCTGCAGCTGATGGAGAGGATAGAGGATAAAGTGGGATGGGCTGCTGAGGGAGACAGTTCCAGAGGAACTGTGGCCATGGGTTTCATTAGGAGATCAGCACCTCCTTGTCTGTTCTCCCATCATTCTCACCTCCTACTTCAGTTCTCCCAAGGCCCGGCAACAGGGGAGACCTTTCTAGAGTTGGCTACAAAGCAACAAACTGAGACACAGGCAGGAAAGGGTAGGGATGAGAGGTGTGGGACAGGTAGTCCCCAAGCAGCTCAGGGCAGTACCTGAGTACAGGTTAATGGCAGTGAGAGGGGAAGGATGGAGGGAATGGTATGCAGAAACCACCTCCTGGCTGGTGCTGGCTAAGGAGCTCCTCTCCCTGCCCCCTATGCCCCACTGACCCCTGAGGAGGAGGGATGATCTAAGGCCAGGAGGGGAAGAGGACACAGCTTTCACCAAGCATCTGCTCCAGGAGCAGCACTGTGAGGACAGGAATGCTCTCCTCCCCTTCCTTTCCCTTCCCACGCCCTGCCTGTCCTTGGAGGCAACACTGACCGAGGTGGGGGAGCTGCACTCGCTAACTGACTGGCAGGTTTCCGAAGCCTCAGAGGATGCCGAGCTGGAGGACTTCTGCGGTACAGCCAGTGGGAGCAGTCCACCACAGACAGACGTGGAGAGCGAGAGGAGCAGAGCAGAGCGGAGGAGAGAGGAGGACAGCGGAGTGGGGGAGAGAATAAACCTGGTTAGGGCGAGGGCATGCAGCAGCAGAGACACGCACGTGAATACACACACATACACACACACACGTTTGCACATGCACAGATGTGCCTTCCCCAGAGCTCCAGGGCCAAGGCCACAGTCCACAGCAAAAACCTACCTGACACACACTATCCCAAGGAGAAGGGAAAGTCATGTAAATGGACACACACACACACACACACACACACACACACACACACACACACTCACGTGCATGCACATACACATGTGAACAAAACAGCTCAAGCACCCTGTACACGTAGAACATAGCCCAGAAGATACCCGTCCCCAGCTCACTCCTAATGCCACGGATACCCCTCTTTCTAAATTTATATATGGTGCAGACACTCACTGGCCCAGAGCCTCTCCTGTGCACACCCACACAATACATGTATGGGTCCTCTTGTCCTTCTAATTGACTAACCCCTGTGATACTTCATATTGCTCATCATCCCCTAACCTTTTAAAAATGTAACTTTTACTTTACTGATTTTTTTAACTAAAAAGTGTATACCTCCCTTGTACTTACTTCCATAACTGAAAAAAAATAAAACAAAACTCTGGTAACAGAGAGACATAGTCAAGCAAAACAAATTCTAGCACTGGCTATATCTAAAAAAAAGCATGTCTCCTTCTGCATCCTGAGGTCTGGCTCTCTTGGTCAGGAGGTTTGACCCCTGAACTTGAGTGAAATGGACAGGCCGTGCTCTTGTGTGGGAGACCTCGGAGGGATGGGAACCCCTGTCTCTGGAGGGAGGGTAGAAGAAGTCACGCAGCTGTCTTTCTATCTTGACATCTCAAAGCATCCTGGGCAGGTCCACAGGTACAGTGGGCCCTTCTGCTGAAGTGGAGAGGAAAGTCTCCCCAGAGACTTGGGCTTCGGGTCAAGCTTCATTGGTATGTCAGGACTGCGTAGAGTTGAGTGTGTTGTCTTTTGTCCAGCATTCCCCTTCTCCCCCACAAACACACACAGAACTGCTACCTTTGCCCCCCCAACCACTTTAAGTCAAGTTATTGGGACACATTCTGAGGAGGGGACAGTTAGAGTGCCAGCAAAGGATTAATTTGAGCCTAGCCAAGGACTAGAACATGTAAGCAGATGAACGTGCTCTACTCAGAGTCTTCTCTTCTACAGGGAACAGTAGATCCTAGTTCATCCTAGCTTTGGTCTTCCCAGAGACCCTATCAATGGCCTGTGAGTGGAGGAAAAGGTTGCCTCCCCTTGGCCTGCCCCTTCTCCTTAGCAGAGCCTAAACTCATGCCTCCCATTGAAGGGCTAGCTGCGATCACTGCTACCACCTTCTTTGGACATAGAAAGGAGCAACTGGAGAAGGTCCCCTATGACGGCCTTGGTTCCCAGGATTCCAGGAGTCTGGGTCAGCTTAATTTCTACTTCCATTGGTCACCATTTGCCCTCCATCTTCCTAAGTTTTATTTTTGCTTTCTGGAGTCCAGAAATCTCCTTTGACCTGGATTTGTTGTCTTTCTTGACTCTAGTTTTCTCTACCCCAAGGCCAAGAGTGTTCATTTGCCTCCAATTCAAGGTACATCCATCTGCATTGGGTGGCCAATTATCCTATTGGCCACTAGGGGGGAGGGTGTACCCTTCTGGGATGGCATTTCAGGCTAGCTCCTTTTCCCTGGCAGTGATTTTAGGACCATAAATTTAGAAGGAACTTTAGACCAATCTCTTTATTCTACAGATGAGAAAATGAAGGCCTACAGGGGTTTTAAAGGACTTTAAATTTTAGAGGGGTCACAGGTGCCTGAGTCACCCAGTCAGTAAATGGGCAGAGCAGGAATTTTACTGGGATACTGTTCTCCAAATTGTGTTAAGAGAAGAAGAGGTGGGTCTTCTTCTGCCTTTCCCCATCCCTGCCCTGGCCCTCCCAAGCCAATCCTCCTCACCTGGCTGGTGATGTCCGAGGGCATTGGCGATGGAGGTTTGGAGTATGTGGCATCCTGGGAGATGAAGCCAGAGTCATGGGAAGAGACACTGGAGAGGCGGGTACTGGTGTTAACTGGCTGCGCCAGGCTGCGGTAGCGATAGGTGGAACTGGGTGAGTATGTTTGGGACCCGCCAGGCCATGGGGCGCCACCCTTTGTACTGTTACCACTGCTGGGAGGGGGATGGCAGGGGAGAGGGAAGAAAAAAGTGTGGTGGGAAAGGAGTAAAGAGGGGGAGAGTGGCAACAGTGGTCAAAGGGGGAGGACGAGGGGAAATCCAAGGTGGGGAGGAGAGAAGAGGGGCAAAAGAAGGAAAAGACAGTGTAAGACAACAGGTTCCGAGACACAGGCATCGTACGCAGGAGTTGCTGAGCCATGGAACGACGTGTCAAGGACAGGGAGGGGATGGAGGAGAGAATGTGGCAAAGGACTGGGCAGGTCACTCTCAGGGGCTTACTCTACAGGACCTGGGCCAGGAGCAGGTGCTTTGCCCCACTGCTTCTTGGGTCAACAAAGGCCATGCCCAAGTTTGATCAATCTGACCCCTTCTGTTCCCTCTACAATCCCAATGCAATAAAGATTGGGGGGGGGTCACCATGTTAAAGATGTAAAACTCAAGTAGGGACACTAAGTGAGGAGTGGAATCACGCAGAGTTACCCAGATGTGTGTATGGAAACTTGGACTAATGCCCTGATCTTCTGACTCTGAAACTGGTCCTCTGTCCCAGAAGCAGCTAGTGCAGTGGACAAAGCGCTGGCCTCAGAGTCAGGAAGCCCCGAGTTCAAATCCTGCCTTTCACACTTACTAGCTGGGTGACCTTGGACAAGTCATTTCACCTCTGCCTGCCTCAGTTTCCTCATCGGTAAAACAGGGATAAGAATAGTACCTCCCTCCTAGGGTTGTTGTAAGACAGTGCTTTGCAAAACTTTTTGTCCACTATGCCAAAGTGCATGAAAGGAATCATGATGTGGTATTGGTTATAGCTATACGTGTTTCTATGCATGTAATATAACGTACATGGAGTAATAATAACTAGCACTTTCAGAGTGCTTTAAGGTAAACAATGTGTCTTCCTTACAGCAATTCTGGGAGGTAGACATTGCAAGTACTATTACCCCCAATTTACAGATGAGGAAACTGAGGTTTAGCAGTTAAATGACTTGTCCAAGGTCACACAACTAATAAGCATCAGAATTGGAATTCAAAACAAGCTCTCTCCTGATTTCCTCAGAGGTTTTCTGCACTGGATCACATTGCCTTGGAAGCTGTGTGTATGTATGTATGTATGTGTGCGTGTGTGTGTATGTATGTGTATAAATGTATATGTATGTATACATGTATTTATGGTGTTATTCAGACATATTTTTTCTATACATGGAAAAATGAAATTTGATCATGTAAACCAAGGATTCTTAACCTTTTCTGTGTGATGGACCCCCCTTGGCAGTCTGGCGAGCCTTAGGGATCCCCACTTAGAATTATGCAGAAAACAAAATACATGGAATTACAAAGGAAACCAATCGTATTGACATACAGTTATTAAAATATTTTTTTAAAAAAGTTTCCAGACTTCAAAGTAAGAATCCTTGGTATAGACAGATGCCTCGTAGAGCCTCAAAGTAAATTAATTGAACTGATTTAGGGCAAGTTTTGATTGAAAAGCCAAGTGGGGTCAAGCCCCCAGGTCAGAGGCCCCCCATGCCCCCCACGTGTCCCTCCAGGACTCACAGGCCAGAGCTCCCATTGCTTAAGCACACTTACCTACACATGCTGGACTTTCGAGAGCCAGAGCTGCTGGGGGAAGATGGCGGAGTCTGGTATGACCAGCTGTAGTCAGAGCCCTTCAGATCTTTGATCACCTGAATGAGGGGCAGAGACCAGGGTCACCAGAGCCAGGCACCCCTCCCTCACAGCCGGGGAAGCTGCCGTCAGCAATTTAGGGAGACAGAGACCCCTCCTCCCATGCCCTTCTTGGGATCCCTCGGACCCCAAGAAGCCTCTTTTGGGCCACTGTTGGATTCCTCCAGCCCTTAGCTCAGCTCTATTGCCCCTTGTATCTAGTGGGAGGGGGGATGGTCTTTGTGCTCCAGGTTGGGCCCTAGACAGGGAGGAGCAGTTCCCCCTGTGGAATGACTCAGTATCCCCACTTCTCCCTGTTTCCTTGTTCCCACTTTATGAGCAAACCCACGGTGGTTTACCACTGTAATAACAATGAGTCAGAAGGACTGGATCCAGTGACTTCATTCGCATGGAGAATATTCCCTCTACCAGTGCAGGCCAGCACCTTCTCTCCAACTTCTTGGTCTCAGGACCTTTACACTCTTAAAAATTACTGAGGACTCTGAGAGCTTTTGTTTATGTCCCTCACATCTACTGATATTTACTATGTTAGAAATTAAAATATCTTGGTATCACTATAAAAATAATTTTGATTCTGCATACTCCCTGAAAGGGTCACAGGGACCCTTGGGGGGGGTGCCCTAGAACCATTGATCTTAGGGAGTGACTTAGAGCTCTCGTGTCAAGTGACTTGCCCAGGGTCACACAGACAGTATTTGTCAGAGTCGGGATTTGAATCCAGATCTATCTGACTCCAGAGTCAGCTCTTTTTCTATTATATGAAAATATTGAAATAAAAATGCTTTAAGTACTTTATACACATTGGACCCTTACAATTACCTAGAGGAGTAGGTTTGATGAGGTTTATTAAGCTCCGTTTTCCACATGGAAAAACTGAGGTTCAGAGACATGAAATGCTCTATTTGGAGTCATATAGCTAAGTAAATGCCAGAAGTGAGATTTGAACTCAAGTCCCTCCAAATTCTAGGTCCCGTGCTCCATACCACCATGTTGCCTCGAGGCCCCAGAGATTTGTTTTTCCCCTTTCTCTGTCCCCATGGTCATACACACAACCCTTTTCTGAACTCCTGGAGTTTCTGCAGTCTGCATGGCTCATGTGAATGCTTCTGACCATGCTGTACAGAAGCCTTCCTTAATGGATCAGAGCTAAGAGTACCACTCTGGGCAAACTCCGTCTCTTTCTCCTTACCCATACTCTGCCGGGCTTTCTCTGTTCTACCCCAGACATCTTTCCCGGCCTTCCTCCCTCTACCCCCCAGGCACAGATGTGTGCCCAGTGACGTGCAAGCCACCCGCCACAACCTCCCCTCCCAAAGAGCCCTCACCTGCTCACTGGCTGGGGGCAGCTTGTGGGGCTCAGCTGTCAGCACCACCAGGTCATCAATGATGCCTTGCAGGTGAGTGATCTCTCCCAACATGGTGATTTCTCCATTCTGGACAGGGGGGAAGGAAGCCAAAGGGGACGGTGAGCAAACATTATCATACCTGCCCTCGGGGAGGGGGATCTGTCTCCCATCCTCCTCTTCCAGTGTTCCAATACAGAGGGACACAGCACTCCTCTCCTAAGTGCAGTCTGATCCCTTCATGGTGCAGGGTTGAGAGACTGTATTGAGGACTGGCATCCTGTTTCCTCTCCCTCCCTCCTGCCGCCAAAGCTCAGTGGGGTCTTAGCCTGGGGAGTCCATGAACTTGTTTTTGTTAAAAAAAAAAAGTTCCGATACTTGTGTTTCAATATTAATTGGTTTCTTTTGTAATTCTACGTATTTTATTTTACTCATTTAAGAAAGTGATTCTGAGAAGGGGTCCATCAGCTTCCTCAGTCTGTTGTTAAAGGGGTCTATGATACAGAAAAGAACTCCTAACCTACAATCCTGAAATGGCTCCTGAACCACTCAAGAAACATGAGTTCACAACCGGCTTTGTCATAGGTATTACAATCCTTGGAAAATGGTCAGCTAAGTGTGCCCTACACAACAGCTCTCTATTTAATAAGCATTTATCTCGCCCTTCCAATGCTTGGGCTAGGTACCCAGCGAGGTCCTGGGGATACAAAGGGAAGGGATGGCATGGTCCAAGTTACAAGTTTACATCGATTAGAATATTCAGTTCCTCAGATTCCCTGTTTCTATCATCGTGCCAGGAAATGAAATGCCCGATGGTGAGGAAGAGTTCCGCCCCCAGGCTCTAAGGAGAAGGCTCTGGGGATCCAGCTTAGAATACATTCTTTTCACTCCTCCAGTATACTTTCGCTTTCCTGCCCCGCCCTCGGTAGGTAGCGCATACCACCACGGGCTGCAGGAAGGTGATGAAGGTGCAGAATCGCCCCCTCTCCTCAATCAGGGCCCGGCGCACGGCTTGCTTCTCTGTCTCCTCCAAGAGCAGATACATGTCATTTACGTCCTGGAGGGCATTGTCCAGCTGTGGCTGCAGGTCCCCTTTCCCTGTGGAGGACAGGAGGAGATGCCCGGATGGGGAGGCCACCCTTCTCCCCAAGTGGGCCAAGCCTGGCTCCTCTCTGGAAGAAGGCCCCTTTACCTAGCCTTCTCACTCCCCCCAAGTCTGAGGAGGGGTACAGAGAGCACCAGTCCTGACCGGCAAGGCAAAGCTTCTGCCTGCAATGGGGGCTTTCCATAGGTGCAAGGGTTGAGGCTGGAGGGAAAGCATGAGCCCACATGATGGGAGGAGCCCAGGGCCTTGTAGGGTCTTGATCCAGGGCAGAATATGCAGCGACCCATGCAGCAGGGGTGGGCGTGGAGAGCTTGTCCCAGACAGGGAGGGCAGAGAAGGCACACAAATACACACAACTATGGAGGACGCCAAAAGCCAGAGCCAAAGCTGCAGGGCCACCTGGGGCCTCAGGAGTCGGGGAAAGGTCATCTATGGGAGCGCAGGCCAGAGAGGCCCTGCACTGAGGCAGCAACATGGCAGGCGGAGACTGCAGACCCAAGCACACGTGTGGCTCACCCACTTAGCTGAAAATAGAAGCAGTGCATGTTGGGAACTGTTGCTTGGCGGTAAAAAGAAAGGTGGCCAGGTGCAGAGGGACTAGATTTTCAGAGCCCTCCAGCCACCGCTTAGGGCCTCCTCTGATGTGAGTCCCAAGAATAGGAACCGGGCACTCCTTTCACCCTCCATCCCGCCCAGGGCCGGTCTACTGAGAAGACCCTATGAGCAGGAGAGAGGTGGCCACAAGACAGTTTCCCAGAATGCAGCTGGAGTGGGCAGTTGAGGATGGGGCAAGGCAAATGCTGAGCCTGAGGGTGGTCCAAAGCACACAGCTATGAGCTTTGAGGGCTCCAAGAACAGACTGGGAGACGTTTTCCCATTCTGGTTACCTACTATGTTAAAGGCCAGTAGAGATATGACGGCCTTAGGGCTACGCTATGAGGAGGGGGCACCTCCTCACTGCAAGGGACAAAAAACGATCGAAAGGTTTGAATTGCCCTGCTCCCTGAGCTCCTGATGGAGACAGCGGGGAGTGGGGTCCCAGAAGGAGGGGGCTGGCCCACGCCCATCCAAATTGGTCTCAGCATTAGCCCCAGGGCTCACCCCAGATGACTGCCTCCCCCAGGAACAGTGTGGCAAGAGAGGGAAAGAAAGAAAGAAAATGAAGAAATGAAGGAAATAGAGTGTGTATGAAGGACAGAAGATGAGATATAGGGGAAAGGGAGATAGGGTGTTAGCAGGGGGAGGGAGGCATGTAATGAACCCCATGTCATTGGCTGTGGGCCAGCCTGCTATAGTAGGGAGGGGACAGTCATGGCCAAATCAGAGTTGAGTTCAGGCCCCACAATGGCTCCTTTCACCAACTTCCAGAAGGCAGTAGGTTGGGTTGATACCATTCTGCCTCATACCTGGGAAGACGGGATCATGCCTCCCTCCCTCTGGATCCTCCTGGGGAGTCGGGGCAGGGAACAATACCAGCTACTGAAGATCAAACCCATTGGGACATCAGAAAAGGGAGGACTCATGTAACCAGGTGGAAGAGATTGACCAGACGCCTTACTGCCTTCCCACCCCAATCTCTCCAGGATGACCAGGCTTCCTTCACACTGCGGTCTGGAAAGGTTCATTCCAAGCCCCCTTGGAGCGATATGAGACAGAGAAATGCGACACAGACATTAAAGCAGGGTGAGGGGCTGGGAGAGGAGGGCCTGAGGAAGGACCAGGGAGGCCAGCTGGAACAGATGGCGGCAACGTTTGACTTACCAAGTAGCTCTACAGGAAGGATGTGGGAGGGAGGAGAAAGAAGAGAAGAGAGAAAGAGACAGAGAGAAAGAGAGAATGTGTGAAAGACAGCTGATGGACAGAGAGCTATTTCTCTCATTTTGAGGGGAGGTAGGTGGGACCGCTTGACCCTCCCTGGGCTCCCTCTTAACAACTCCCTTTGTGAGGTGGGAGGGGTCTTGAAGATGAGATGGGTAGTTTCTAGAGGGGCTTGTGTGTGTGTGTGTGTGTGTGTGTGTGTGTGTGTGTGTGTGTCTGTACGTTACAGCTCTATCACCCTGAGGCTTCCCTAAAGCCAACCTGAGATCCTTCCCTCAGATGCCAGCCGGGATGAACCCTGGTTAGCTGGTTCTGCAAAACACCAAGGGCCCTCCTCGTTGGCCTCTTTCCTTTTTGGAACAATGAAAAGCATTGGGACATGCCCTGGCAGAAAACCAGATGTGCGGGCTCCCGTGGGGTCTGCCTGCTGTACCAGGCCAACAAACGCTGACGCTACCTCCCCTACTGGGGATGGAGGGAATGCTGCCCACCCGCAGGCTCTCGGCTACACAGATCGGCAGACCGATATACCATCCGCCACCTCCCTCCCAGTGTCTGTAACTAGAACCCTTTTCCTCGGGTCGGGGGGCCCTACCTTTTCGCGCTTTCTTCTGTAGCTTTAGTGTGTCTGATGATTTCTTCTTGATCTCATGGCGAGCCCGTTTGTACTCTGAATGAGAAGAGAGGAACAAAAACAAGACCCACGCCATGGGGGCCACTGAGATGTGACCCCATGACCCAACCCTCCTGGCACCGCTCCCCTGACACCGCTCCTCCCCTCTTCTTCCCTCCCTTCCTGAGCACCTTTTGCATGGTCCTTGTCTAGCTGGTTGGCGGTTTTTTTCCAGTCCTCAATCCTCTCTTGCAGGGGGTTGATGAGGCTTTCCAACAGGGCGCTGTAAGGACCGGAGGAAGATTAGAAATGCAAATTTCCCATTGGCTATGACTTGGTGGCATGTTCCCCTTGGGGGCAAGGAAGGGGTTTTAGGTATGAACAAGGTTAGTTGTGAGGGAGATGTCGGGTCCCTGACCCACAAAATTTGGAAGAATCAGGGGTGAGGCGGCCTCCCTGGGCTTAGTGTGGGTCCCAGCCCTGGCCTCAGCCCTTGCCAACCCTACTCACTTGGTAAACTGACGAAGCTTGGTCTCAATGCTTCGGTGACGCATGCACATCCGGGTGAGGGCTGAGCCAATGTCTCTTGTGGCCCCTGGAAAAACAAGAGCCCCTTCCATGCTGAGAGGCTGTCATGGGACAGATCTGGCTCTCCAAGGATGCTCAAGGAGGGTGGGGTTGGGGGAGGGCCTGGGTTGCAGCTGCCACTCACTGCCCGGGACACCGAGTCTCTGGCAAGTCCTACTGCTGGCCACCAGAGGGCAATGTGTGCCCACAGAAATGTCCAGCACCAGGGACCAGCCGGCACCCTCCCGCTTCAACTTGGCCACCTCCCTGGATTTCTTCCCAGTCTGCTCCCATGAGGCTGCCATGTTGTCCTCAAGCCTCTGCAGGCCACCTGGCCCAGCCCAGGCCTAGCTGGGGAAGAGAAGCAGTGGGTAGGGAGGAGAAGAGGGAAGGCTTGAGTCTCATACATAGTACTCGAGGGTTTCCATAGACACACAGAATGTAAAAGCTGGTAAGAAATCTCAGAGGAAGGAGTTAGATAGTCCTACCCCATTTTTTTTATAAAGGAAGAAACTGAGACCCAGAGAGGATCATTTGTCCAAGGTTATAAAATAAGCCAGTTTGGAAACTGAACTCCTCTCTTGACTCCCCCAGGGCTCCTTCCACCTCACCAGTTCCAGTCCCACAAAGTCCTGAGGCTGGAATCATCTCCAGGGTCACCTCTTATCCCCGCGGTTGTGAGACGGGTGATCCTCTTCCTGGAGCCATGCTCCCATTCACCTCTATTACTTTGATCATTACCATTGTCAGTGTTGAGAATGCCCTCCCTTCCTAAGCCAATCAAATCACATCCACCCAAGGCCCAGTTTAAGTTTTATCACTGGAGCTCTCATCGTCTTTATCATAGGATCAGGGGGTTTAAAGCCAGTAGGGACCCTAGAGGTGATGTAGTCCAACCTCCCCATTTTTATAGAGGAGGAAACTGAGGCACAGAGAGGGAGAGTAGCTTTCTGAGGTCACAAAGCTACTAAGTTTTATCTAGATGCTCATGTCCTCTATTTTGAATTCAGTACATCTCCACCTTTTATCACATATGCCTTCAGTCTTTTGAGAAACACATACCCCGTCTCCCTGATGGACTTCTAAGCTCTGGGAGGGCAGGGACAATGTATTAATACTCCTCTGTATGCTGACCCCTGCCCTCAACATTAAACATGGTGCCTTGCATATTGCAAGCACTCTCCTAGCAAGATAGTGTAGGAAGATCTCAATTTGAATCCTGCCTTTTATGCTTACTAGCTGTGTGACCCTGGGCAAGTCAGTTATTCTCTCTCAGCTTCAGTTTTCTCCTCTGTAAAATGGGGATAATAAAAGTATTTCTCCCCCCCCCCCCAATCCTCTACCAGAGTTGGATCAAATGAGGTAATGTATGTAAAGGGCTTTGTAAATCTTAAAGCACTAAATTCCAGGTGTCATTAACAGTAAACTCCAAGAGAGAACGGACTAAAGCTTTTTTATACTTTATGTCTCTCTCAGCTATGGGCCCATGGCTCTGCACACAGAAGATGCTTAATAAATATTTGCTGAACTCAGTGGAATTGAATAAATACCAGATGCCTAAATGAAAATGGATATTGGCCCCACAGGTCTGGGGTCTGGGATGCCAGCTGCCCTCAAGGGTTTGACTAGGGGCACATTCCTAACATGTCTGGAAGCTCCAAGCTTCAAGGAAGGATGGGCAGAGGTCCAAGTGGCAGGGCCCACTCTGAGCTACAGGACTTGGACAGCTGGCATTCCCCTTTACCACTCCCTACCTCCACCCAGAGCACAGTGACCAGGACCCACACTGCCACATGCCAGGGGCTACCTCCCTCCCTTTAGGGAAGTTGGTGGTCCATCTTGGGAAATGTTGACCTATCTTTGACATCTCCATAGGCTCTTATACTATAGACTTGCCAAGGATAAGAGTGGCAATTCTAGATGGCACCCCTCAATGCTCCCAGCTGTTTCTGAGCCTCGTGTCAAGGAACCATCCCCAGAATTTCCCCAATCATAGGGCTGATAGGCATTTGGGCAGAACCCCCAATGGTACCCCAGGGGAATACCACTAGAGAACAGAGAGAAGGGTTGAGTTATTTTTTAACTGGAAACTTAGAGGGTGCTCATCTCTCTTTTTTTAATTTTTAATTTTTTAATTTTTAGGCAATTGGGGTTAAGTGACTTGCCCAGCGTCACACAGCTAGTACGTGTCAAGTGTTTGGTCTGAGGCCAGATTTGAACTCAGGTCCTCCTGACTTCAGGGCCAGTGCTCTATCCACTGCGCCACCTAGCTGCCCCCGAGGGTGCTCATCTCTTGAGAACTATAATGGGATAGTATTGTGCCATAAGAAATGATGAAGGGAATGGTTTCAGAGAAACCTGGGAAGATTTTTTATGAACTGATGCAGAATGAAGGGAGAACTAGGTGAACAATTTATGTCATAACAACAACACTGTGAAGACAAACAACCCTGAAAGACCTGAGAACTCTGGTCGATGAATGACCGACCGTCCCAGAGGACCAGTGTTGCAGTCTGCTACCCCACCTCCTGACAGAGAAAGGAAGGACTCAGTATGTAGGATGAGATACACAATGCAGAAACTTGCTTTGCTTGACTATGTATATTTATTACGGGTGTTTTCTTTTTCTCATTCAGTGAAGGAGATGGTAGCAAGAGGGAAAGAAAATAAATGAGGCAGTTAGGTGGTACTGTGGATTGAGTTCTGGATCCTGACCTGGAGTCAGGAAGACTTGAGTTCAAATCCAGCCTCACATCCTTAATATCTGGGTAAGTCACTTAACCTCTCTCAGCCTCAGTTCTCTCATCTGTAAAATGGGGATGATGATAATAGGATCTACCTCCCAGGGTTGCTTTGAAGATCAAACAGGATGTAAAGTGCATTGCAAACTTTTAAGTTTTTTATAAATACTATTATTAGGCTAATTAAAATTTAAAATTAAAAAGAAAGAGCACAGTTGAGCCCTCACACTATGGGAGGAGCGAAAAGGGGCCAGAGGCAGAATCTGGAATAATCCAAGATGGAGCCATACCAATGTACTGCCTGTTCCCAGGTCTTGGATATAGACACACATTTCCCACTAGTCTACTCTCCATGTTACAAGCCCCTCTGAACAACCCAGAGCTGGGTGCTTGTGAGCCCAGAGATCTTGCCCTAGTTCTGGTGCCCAGGCCTCCACTTTCTGCATGGCGCTCAGGCTGAAGAACACAAGACATGATAGTCGTGTTTACGTATTTGAAGGGCCATCCTGGGGACGAGGGGGTAGGTTTGTGCTGCTTGGTCTAGAGGGCAGAACCAGGAGCAATGGAAGAAGGTTGCCAAGAAGCCAATTTTGTCCTGATGTCAGGAAAAAAATCTCCTAACTCTCAGAGCTGTCCCAAGGCAGGGTGGGGGGTGGGCTACCCCAGAGGTGGTGGCCTACTCCTCCTTGGAGGTCTTTGGGCAGAGGCTGGATGGGTATTTGTCGGATATTTTTACTGGGGATTCTGAGGTCATAGAGCTAGCTTAGAGGTCACTAGGTCCAACCTCCTTATTTTGCACATGAGGAAACGGAGGCCCAGAAATGTTAAGTGGCTTGCCCAGAGTCACACAGGTGACTCTGAACCCAGGTGTTCTTGATTCCAAATCCAACACTCCATCCGACTCTGAAACTGACTCTCCTCAGCTGGGCCCAAGATCCTTCTGTCCACTGCCACTTGGGAGTGGGAGAGATGCTGGGCTTGTGTGCCTGTGGGCAGAATTGTTCCTTCCTATCCCTCCTCAAACCTCTCTCCTGGTCATCAGCCTCCATTAGAGATTCCAAAAGAGGCAAAGGTGTCTGGACCACAGGGGTCAGAAATGGCACGTGCCTATCCCTTCTCTTTGCTATGCCAATCTAAGTGGGTGCCAGGGGGTCACCATGGTGACATAGGGAGTAACTTGCCCAAGTCAGTTTTGTTTTGGGTCCTCTACTGGGGGGTGATGGGAGCTCTTATTCAAGGGGGCACCAATCTTTACTCCCTGTGCCCTGCAGGGCCCATGTTGGTCAGATCAGGTCCCTGCCCCAAAGATGAAGAGTTCTCCTGCATAGAGGGTGATGTCATTGGGACTTCAAGGGTCCCTTTCTGTCTCTTCTCACAATGGGTTGAACCTAATGCCTGACTCAAGTATTTTTGCCTTTGGGAACCACTTAATAAATGTTGTTGACTGTTGACTGGTATCCTCCCTGAGTGTCCAGGCCCTTGACCACAGCTAGCTGTCTTCCCTGGGCTCCTGGAGGTCCCCACCCACTTCCACCAACACTGCCTCCACCTCCCTGACTCAGGGAGGTGATGTCTTGCTTCATTGCCCACCAGCCAGACTACAGAACTCTGCCCAGTCCGACAGAGTGGGCTCTGTGTCTCAGGCCCAGGGGCATAATGAGCTTACTGTCCCAAAGTCAGGGTACAGAAGGGAAGAGTGGGCAAACAAAGGTGGGGTGGGAACACCGTGTCCAGCTGGCTATCCCTGCTGGCTCCCACCCTGTTCAAAGCCAAGGCTCGGCCGTCCCTCATCCCTGGAGTGTTATCCCACCAGCTCCTTTGGGGACAGCCATGTGCCAACCCTGTAAGCCTTCTCTTTTCAGGGGAAGCAGTGTTTACTCTCCCTCGGTCTCTTACAATTCACTGCCCTTTATGTACCCTACATTCCAGCCAAACTGTTCCTTGCATAAGACTTCATTTCCCAACTCCATCCTCTTACATAGGCTGTGCCCCATGCCTAGAATGCCTTCCCTCCTCACCACTACTTCTTGGAAGCCCTGGCTTTCTTCAATACTCAGCTCAAATGCTACCTTCTACATTCCCCTCAATTGGTATGGCCATCCTTCCTGATGTTAACGTTGTATATGTTTTGTATTTAGTCACATGAATGCACATCACCTCCTCTCTGTAGAATGTAAGTGTCTTGATGTCCAGGTCTGTTTCATTTTTGGTTTTATATCCCCAGTGCCTGGCACATAGTAGGTGCCTAATAAATGCTTGCTGAATGAATGAATGAATAGATTTAACGTGGCAGTGCTAAGCCCATCATCGTCAAGTCTACTGAGATACAGAGGAAAAGGGCCAGTCCAACATCCATCTTATCCAATCTTCAATGCCACCTCCGCCATGAAACCTTCTAGGACCACCTTAATCTGAAGTGATTGTTCATTGGACATTGAACACTTACTGCCTTAAGTTATTAGTATAATTCACTGTCACCCCAGAGAAGGAGCTCCTTATGGTGGGGGCCCATGTCTTAAATTTCTTTGTACAGGGAACCTAGGAAGCTGAGAAATAAAATGTTTATTAACTTATTTAATATTTAATTAATTAAAATTAGTTAATTTATTAACTGATAAGTATTTATTTGATATAATATTAAATTAAAATTAATTAATTTATTAACTGATAAGTATTAATTGATTAACTAGTCAGTTGATGAACTGGGAGTTCCTTCTCAATTCATAGGATCATAGGTTTAGAATGGGAGGAGACCTTTGAGTTCACCTAGCCTAGCCCGCTTATTCTACAGATGAGGAAATTGAGGCCCACAGAGGTCAACTGACTTGCCCAAGGTCAGGAAGTCTTGGGAGAAGCAGGTTTTGAACCCAGGCTTTCTGAATCCAAATCTAGTGCTCCTTCCCCTGCACCAGGCTGTTTTCTATTTGCAATTACTGGTCACATCTGTCTGCAGCTATCCTCAGAACCTCAGAAGCCTCTCCAGTCCTTGCTGATAGCACCTAAGGCAACTGAGGGATGGAACTCTCCGGACCACAAGCCCCCTTTCACCTCGAGTCTTTTTGTGAGGACAAGGGGCAAACAGCTCCAGCAGGTGTCCCTCCCGTTTGATGGAATCAGATGAAATGCCCGGTCTCCCCCACCTCAGACCTGGCCCTGGAGTTGTCCATGGTGCTGCTTGCTCATTAGACAGGGTAGACCAATACCAGAACTGCACCGGGCCTCTACAGAGCCCTCTTCAGACACAATCTCACTTGCCCTTGGTATATACCCTTAGGGGTGAAGAACAGTAATTATCCTCCTCTCATAGAATGGTGGGGAAATGAGGCCCAGAAAGGTTAAGCAACTTGCCCAACAATGCAGAGCAAATCGGAGAACCCGACTCTGGGTCTTACGCCCCTTCCACTGGTTATGATATTGCATGCCCCTGTTGCTTTCTGCATCCCTTGTCCCTGTTCTATTCCTGACTCCCACTTCCCTGCCCTCCTTCTCCCCATTTCCAGCCTCCTACCTCGGGTGTTGGTGGCCATATCAGCCACTTTCTGGAAGGCATCCAGGAAAGCAACTGCAGCCAGGACCGTGGTCCTGAGGGAGACAGGAGGATGGCAGGGTCATTGGAAGAGCTGATTCTCTTGCAGCCCAACCCTGATCAAAATCAGGAGTCTGAGCTCCGGACCCCTCACAAGGGGATAAGACTCAGCCAAACAGCTGGGAGGAAGCCCGAGGCTGCCTCTGTTCTCCTGGGCCATGCCAGCTGGGCATCAGGAGAGGGCAACACGATGAGCCTGGGCTGCCCATTGGGGGGTCTTGCAGATGGCCTCTTTGGGGTGCCCAGCCCCGCCCCATCCCAATGCCACTGAGGAGCTGCAGTACTGCCTCACCTGAGCTGAGAGTGTAGCTTAGTGGCCTTTGAATTGAAGTCTTCCCAGATGGGATAGGAGCTCTGGAGGGAGAAAGAGAAGAGAGAGGAAGGCAGGTCACATAAACAATAGTGAATGACAATTGCTCTCTAAGATTCAGCCCAGCCTCTCTGTTATCATTTGCTACATGCCAAGGAATGGAAAATGAAGTAGACTGGCCCATTCCCATATTCCAACGATCCGAGGACTGTAATTCTGCGGACAGGGGTACTCCTCCTGAGGCAGATTGACCCTCTTTATAACTTAGTAAATGGTCTTCAAGAGTTGCTGTGGCCAAAAATGGATGGCCGATGCCAACCTGGTAATGATCCTCTCTCAATGGGCAAGGCTGGTCACTGGACAACAGATATGTATGTAGTCCTTCTCTGGGGCCTACTTCAATGAATCAGCAGTTATCATGTGCCTGTTCTATGCTGAGCACCGGGGATGCAAAGATAAAAATAGAACTGGCTCCTGCCCTCAGGATGCTTATGTTCTACTCAAACCTTTACAGCTTGGTAAGAGCTCTCAGAGCTTGACATCTTTGATGTAACCTCTGAGGTCATGCAAGTCATGAGGGGGGATCAGAGGAGGGCTTTCACGGATGGAACATTTCTCATATTGCGGCAAAAATGGAAGTGGAAACTTTGTCCTGCACCCTCTGGAAGAGCAGAGCTTGGGAGACCCCACTGGGTCTGCAGAAGGCTAACAAGTCATGCTCCCTTTCTGGGTCCCTGGCAAAGGCATATGGCCCACCTCTTCCCTTAGTGACCCATGAATCACAAGAGACCCGGAATTCTCATGGCTTTCTCCATTACCACAGCTGCTGGGGCTGGTGAAAAGATGGCTGGGGAAGGTGAATGAAAGGGTGTGCTGGGTTAGCCAGAGGAGCCGGACGCTGGGGAGCAGCACTTGCCTGTGTAGGTATGACAGCTGCCTTGGGACTATATTCTTGTTGACCTTGTATTGGCAGACAAAGGCAGGGGTGGGATGGGGGAAGAAGGGTTCTAAAATTGTTAGGATCATAGATTTCGAGCTGGAAGGAATCTTAGAGGTCATCTTCGTCCAATGCCCTCATTTTACAGATGAGGAAACTGAGGCTCAGAGAAATGATTATATAACATTACAGGTCAAAACCAGGTCTTCTCACTCTTTCCACTGTGCCCTTCAGGGCAGGATGTTGGCAAAGCAGACAAAAGGGACCTAGAAGACCAATCTCCCAGATCTTATCTACTGTCCCTGCATTGGGTACTGCCTTAGGGGAGAGAGTCCTAGCCACGGGCCTGGGAGGACTCAAGCCAAGGTTCACCAGGGTGATTATTTCATCCCCATTCCTCCAGCTCTGCCCTCGGGGGAGATGGAGAGTGATGAGTGGACAACCCTGTCCAAAGGACAAGCCAACCCAGACTTTCCACTGTTACTGTTCTCCACTCCCTAACCTCAAAGGAATGGGCAGGCTAGGGACTGAGAAGGGGAGAGGACACCTCAGACCCCAGAATTCATTCAGAGTAATTCACTTCCTTAACATTTTTAAAAAAATGTTTATTAATTTTTTTTGTTTTTATATAACTTACATTTTCTAAAGAATTCCTCCTCATTTCCCTCTTAGACAGCTATCCTTTACAACAAAGAATTAAAAGGGAGGGGAAGTGTTCAGCAAAACTAAGATATTGAAGAAATCTGACATTGTATTTAGCATCCCATACCCACTGATCCCCACCCCTTCAAAGAATCAAGGGACACCTTCCAAGAAGCCTTAAGCTACACATAGTCTATGTGGCCTGTTTGACTTACAATGGGTTCCAGAAATCCAAGCTGACCCAAAAGAAGAACATGAAATCTCTCTACGATGTCCCTTGGGGTCATTTCAGAGAGCTCCATGTCCACCCCTGATGCCTATCAACTCCCAAGGAGTGGGGGGAAATACATACATACACACACAGACATATGTAGAGAGAGAATCTGTATGTGTATATGTATGTATGTATGTATGGACAAACAAGGACACCAAGGTACAGAAAGGGACTTTATTAGCTCTGGGTCACACAGCAATTGCCCCTAGATGGGAGTGGTAGAGCCCATGTCCCCATATTCTTGTTTGTTTTTTTTTGTTTTTGGCTAGGCAGTGGGGTTAAGTGACTTGCCCAGGGTCACACAGCTAGTAAGTGTTATGTGTCTGAGGCTGGATTTGAACTCAGGTCCTCCTGACTCCACTGCACCACCTAGCTGCCCCTTCATGTGCCCACTTTCTAAGGATGTTCTCTGCTTTACCCCTCAACCATGAGCTAGCCCCTCTCCCACAGCTGGTTAAGGGGGATGACCACCTTCGAGCCTCAAGGATTCCCATGAAGGATGCTTGGTATCGCTCTGAGATTCTCCCCTTCCCTGGCCCTGCTCTGCCCCCTCTACTTGCCACCTTAAGACAGGGTCTGTGGCTGGTGACTCTGACATGGACGGACCAGGCCATCCCCGTCCTGGGGAAGGATTGGCATGGTCATGGTGGCTGTGCTGGGCCCTGCTGGCTTTAGGGGGACAGCCAGCCACCCAGGCCCTGAATGAGGCACTTGTACTGGGGACAGAAGTACCTTTCTCTTCCCTGTGGTGGGGAGGAAGGAGGGGGGAAACAGTATGGCCTTTATCCTGGCCTGGCCTGAACAGGAGGAAGGAGTTTCCCGTCTGGGTCCAGTGAGGGGAGGCGACACTTCCCCCCAAGGCCCAAATTGGAGCTGTTGTGTTTAGCTTTGGGCAAAACAAGTTGGTTGGTTTTCTTAGGAGGCTTTTCTGGCCCACACCTCCCACCCCCACCCCTGCCTGGGCTGCTCAAAGGCGTCTTTATGACAGCCTTTTACAGGCTGACCCCTCGCTTGACCCATACTGCCCTCAGATGAGGAAGGCTGGAGTGGAGGGAACAAACATGGCTGGATCAGGCCCTGTGTCAAGCCCCACCTCAACATTCATCCCTCCAGAAACGGCCACACTGGATCTGAGCTGAGGAGTGTGGGCTGGCCCACCCCAGCCCTGCCCCAGATAGGC